AGTTTCGATAACTAGAGGGGAGTGATTGATAACTTTTATTAGCGAATTTCCAATATGGGGAATAAGCTATTACCATAGTACTCATGGTAAGACCTGGACCCGGGACCAATTTACTTTTTCGTTTTGAGGTCCCCAGAGGCCAAAAACACCCTCCGTTCAAATTCATATATATATATTTATATGTCCGTTAGCGCGATAACTTGAGCAAAAATGATCCGATTTTGTATAATTTGGTAGAAACGTGTAAACCCACGTTAATTCGAACGAGTTCGCGAACCAGCATGATCGGAATATGGGAACGGGGATTAATGGGGGGTTTTATGGGGTAAAAATTGGTTTTTTCCATTTTTGACTCTAAAAACATAAAATTTCACTATTTCTTTCCAGACCATTTTGTAGAGCTTAAAAAAGAAATAATTTTTTATGTTGAAGCGTTATTGTATGCCTAACAGTTACGGAGATAATTAAAAAAACTTTTAATTTAAAATTCCTATGTTATTCCTATGGAGAATAAATAAACTGTTGTAGTTTGCTTGTGTATGGATATATTTTAATCATATTAGGCAATTTTGTTTATTTCATACTGAGCTATCAACATTTCAATAAAAAACACACCTCAATACCTTCCCTGTAGCAGCAAACCTAGGTACTCATTAAAATTAATGTTATTTCAATCTTCTATGTATATAAAATCCAATGTATGTTTGTATGTATGTTTGTTTGTTTGTTTGTCCTTTATGGACTCCGAAACCACTCGACAGATTGTAATGAAACTTTCAGGCATTATTTATTAAGCATTATTCAAGGACGGTTTGTGTGAAGTTTGGTGCAGATCCGTCAAAAGCGCTCCGCCCCAGTGGCTCATCTGGAGTTTCCCATGTTAACCTTATGAGTACTCATATTGAAATGGAATTAAAGAATCTTAACAGCTGGTTCAACTAAACAATTTGATTCTGTGATGTTCAATAGCATTAAAAAGTTAATAGGTTTACCAACAGGGTGCAGCACTATATTTTGTTTTTTAGCGAATTTCCCTATATAGTCCAGGACCTGACTAGGGTTCTGTGTGCATGTCGTGTATAGTGAATTTTACTTTTGCATTTCAATATAGGTGTCAAGGTGTCTTAGGAAGTGTTTTCCACTCGGGTGTCAAGTTCGCACCTGGTACGTTTTCGAGCTATGACGTCATCAAGATGGCGGCTCAGCAATTTTTGAATGCGTATATTTCGCGAACCGTTTAATGGATCAGGATGATTTATTTTTTGTTTGAAAGATATTTTTACACCCTATCTTTCTTGTGTTTACACTTTTGTTGTAAACTTAATATTTATCTCACTATATTAAAAAACGTGTTTTTTTATTATTATTATATTTATTGTTTTGCTTATAACTTCTTAACCGCTGATAAAATCAAATACCACCCATTGCAAAAGTTGCAGATGATTCTATACCCTTTCCAATGATACCAAACAATATGTGATTAGACCTAAAGATAAAGCAAAGAGATTGAATAAATCGTAAACGAACACTGAAAGTGGTGTACGTTCCGGGAAAGATTTAGTCCTGGACATGACTAGAATTCTGTGTGCATGTCGTGTATAGAGAATTTTGCTTTTGCATTTCAATATAGGTGTCTTAGGAAGTGTTTTCCACTCGGGTGTCAAGTTCGCACCTGGTACGTTTTCGAGCTATGACGTCATCAAAATGGCGGCCATTAATTTTTTTAAATCGTATATTTCGCAAACTATTTGTCGGATCGGAATGAATGTTTTTTGGTTTGAAAGATAATTTTAAATGCTACCTGTTTTACATTTACACATTTGTTGTATGTTTAGTACATTCTTCGTAATTTTGCAAAAACCTGTATTTTTAAATATTTTTGAGTTGTTTTTGTTTGTAACGTTTTATTGATACAATTTATCAAAAACCACCAATGAAAAAAGTTGTAGAACATTTAAAAATCTTTACAAAAATACCAAATTCGATATGTTTTACTCAAAAGATTACGTCAAGAAACTAGATAAATCTCATAAAAACACCAATTTTGGCGCAAAAACGCCTATTAGTCCGGCCTCTAGGGCAGTTCGCAAGTCTTATAAAAACAGTTTCGCCATTCAATGTTGATGTACGTGTCTAAATAAGGGTTTTCAACTCGGGTGTCACGTCTGCACCCACTGCAGTTTCCGGTTATGACGTCATTAAAATGGCGGAAAGGGCTATATTAAAAATAACGATATTTTACATACCATGTATTGGATCGGAATGAACTTTTTTTTGTTTGAAAGATAAGTTTACATGCTATCTTTCTTACATTTGCACTTTTGTTTTATGTTTAGTACATTTTTCGTAATTTTGCAAAAACCTATATTTTTAAACATTTTTGTGTTATTTTTGTCGATAACGTTTTATTGATACAATATATCAGAAATAACTTAAAAACAAAGTTGTAGCACGTTAAAAGAGCTTTACAAAAATACCAAATTCGATATGCTTTACTCAAAAGATCACGTCAAGAAACTAGAAAATCGTACAAAACAACCTAATTTTGCGCAAAAACGCATATAAATCTCAATCCATGCAAATGGAAATTCGCTTAGTCGAAAGGATTGCTGCACCGGGGGTATTTATATAGTGAAAACATTCCTATGGACTAATTACATTGATTTGTTGTGCTTTTATTTGCATAAAAGAGGGTAATGGTCTTATTTTAAGTAAAATAGCTGGTGAAATCGTAACATGTAGCAATTTTTAAGACATCATAACCGGAAACTGCAGTGGTCCAGACGTGACACCCGAGTTGAAAACACTTATTTAGACACGTACATCAACATTGAATGGCGAAACTGTCTTTATAAGACTTGCGAACTGCCCTAGATGCCGGACTAATAGGCGTTTTTGCGCCAAAATTGGTGTTTTTTATGAGATTTATCTAGTTTCTTGACGTAATCTTTTGAGTAAAACATATCGAATTTGGTATTTTTGTAAAGATTTTTAAATGTTCTACAACTTTTTTCATTGGTGGTTTTTTATAAATTGTATCAATAAAACGTTACAAACAAAAATAACTCAAAAATATTTAAAAATACAGGTTTTTGCAAAATTACGAAGAATGTACTAAACATACAACAAATGTGTAAATGTAAAACAGGTAGCATTTAAAATTATCTTTCAAACAAAAAAACATTCATTCCGATCCGACAAATAGTTTGCGAAATATACAATTTAAAAAAATCAATGGCCGCCATTTTGATGACGTCATAGCTCGAAAACGTACCAGGTGCGAACTTGACACCCGAGTGGAAAACACTTCCTAAGACACCTATATTGAAATGCAAAAGTAAAATTCACTATACACGACATGCACACAGAACCCTAGTCAGGTCCTGGACTAATAGGGAAGTAGCTATTACCGTAGGTCTCATGGTAAGACTTAGGCCCGGGACCGATTTACTTTTTCATTTTGATGTCCCCAGAGGCCAAAAATACCATTCGTTCAAATTTTTATATATGTATATATATATATATATATATATATATATATAGATTTATATATATATGTGTCCGTGAACACGATAACTTGAGTAATTTTTATCCGATTTTGATGAAATTTGGTTTGAAGGTGTAAGGCGGGATAAACTTGAATGAGTTCGCGATCCAGCATGATCGGACCATGGGAACAGGATTTTATGGGGGGTTTTATGGGGTAGAAATTGGTTTTTCTCACTTTTGACCCTCAAAACACAAAATTTTCCAATTTTTCTCTAAACCTTCTTAAAGAGCTTAAAAAAACAAACAATTCAGTATATCAAAGTGTTTTTGTACGGTTATTGGTTACGGAGAAAACTAAAAAAAAATTTAATTTAAAATTCCCATGTTATTCTTATGGAGAATATTGTAAAATGTTGTAGTTTGCTTGTTTATCTTTTGATCAAACTTGGCAAATATATTCATTTTATACTAAGCAACAATTATTTTACTTAAAACACACACTTTATTAGTTTCCTTGTAGCAGCAAACCTAGGTACTCGTTAAACCTAATGTTATTTAAATAGATCAATTGAAAATCAATTCAGCCAAATGGAAATTCGCTTAGACGGCAGGTTTGCTGCGGCGGGGGTATTTTTAATTTATGAGAACAGCTAATTTGCAACCAAAAGGTGAGTGAGCGTAGCGAACGAACTTCAACCCGGAGGCGAGTTAGCGTAGCGAACGATTGAGCCATGCGAACGAGCTCATCTTGAAAATGAACGAGTATTTGACATAAAACCACAATAGGACAGGACGACGTCTGTCGGGCCAGCTAGTAGGAAATAAATCAGACAATAATTTTCAGGGTATATTTTATTAGAAATCCAGCCAGGTAAATGGAAATTCGCCTAGTCTGCAGGTTTGCTGCGGCGGGGGTACTTTTAAGTAATCAGAAATTATGACTTATTATCTTTGAAATAACGCCTGTAATATTTAGCAATTGCTCGAATTCGAGCTACAGGTGCACTAGTCTTTTCTATTTCATGAAATATTTAACCGTCCCAAGACTTTTTTACAACCCTGAACATGATTATCAGAATTCACTTTTTAAAACTTAACTTCAGAATTTAAATAATCATATCCGTAACTCATGTCTATGAATAGGACTCTGTCTATGTAGACACTTCAGCAGGTATATTTGCAAAACATGCCTCTCCTTGGATGTGCCTATTGTTTAGCAAAAGGAGAAATCATAGCGTCTGAGGTAAGAGTTCGATTCCATACAGAAAATATCTTTTTTTAGTTTGGCCTGCTATCCCGTCAAAGAATCTGTGATTCCTTTCACTTGAAACTCCCCTGGCATTGACACTAAAAAGGGCAAATAATATTCCCTCTGTATTACAGTTTACTACTTTGTCGAACATTGTAGGTTACAAAACAAGTAGTTTTTTTTTTCAAGTGAAAAGAACACATCTAACAAGACAAAAGCCCAACAAAAATCTATATGGTACTTAAAAATTAATTACTTTTTAAAAATAAATATTTTATTGAGTATTTTCAGATGACTCAGCATATATACAAGCAGCAAATAAACTAGGGAAGTAGTAGGAGGTTTCCGGTCCTTGAGTGTCTATCCAGGCGAGACCCTCCTTGACCATGTGATTGAGAGCTTTACGGCCGCGCTCAGTCTCCCATCCGAGCTTCTCTTTCAGTAGAGACACGGACACATAGCCTTGTCCTAGACTGGCAGCCTGGAACAACCATCAACAAATATTACTTTACTCAGTAGTATAGAATGAATTATTCTTTACTACTAGTCTGCCAAGTGACAGGTGCTTGAAACCATTGACTGTGCACACTTACTAGACAGCACAGAGAAGAAAGTAACAAAGGAAACATTCAATGGTATATTCAAGTGGTTCCTAGGTCAGAGTCCAACTCCAACCCTCGCCCTCATGTACAATGCTCATGGTGGAGAAAGATCCTGTACCCTTTGCGACACAAAATTCCGCACAGTCTTCGCCACTTGGGCTCTTCCTTGCTCTTCACAAGTATATTTCCGACCCAACGAACCTGAGCCAAAAGCCCCAGGTTTGTTAAAAAAAGTTATTATCTTGGTATTTCCCATTAATTTTGCTTGGAAAAATTCATTTGTCTAAGCTCATAAAACTATCAAATTATCTGCACTCTACTCTAGCCATACACAATAATATTAAAGAAAAAACTTATACAAGATATGTAATTTTAAAAAAATACTTTTGTTGCTTACTCACTTTCTTCTCATTCTGTTCTGTTTAGTAGAAATCCAAAACATTAATTTAAAACACCTATCCATCACACTAAAAAAATGTATTATCAAACTAATAAGTTAATGTACTTTACTTTAGAGTCGTCGCAAAGGTTACAAGGACAGTAAGTTGACACAAACGGTTCGATCCTGAGAAAGGTGTGAAGCTTTTTGATGGTTTGGAAATCCAGCTGTCCTTTATTTTGTCCAATTGACTATAAGGCTGTCCTGATTATTGGGCTTTAATGGTCCTGACTAATTAGGTCATTGAGCCTGACTAATGAAACAGCTGATCTTGGTCAGTAACAAAGCTACCTACTACACAAGGCATCTTACTCCATTCAATACTACATGTTCCATTTCCTTCACTCATTTTTGGGCTATTATAATACCTCAACTGATGATGACCTGTATGACAATAAGTTGGATGTTCTAGTAATGTTCTTTGTAATTTTTCTATTAACATGTTGAGTGCATGTTGATCACCGAGGACCGGCCGCCGAACACGCGCCCAGGCCGGCACAATCACCTGTGCTCGGACAGGTCCGCTGAAATGAATCACTCAGTGTGGCGCAGCCTTGTGAAAAGGACTGGAATTTTTGCGTTTTGCGTGTGCATTGTAAGTGTTACATGACCTATAATGTGTGTGTTTTGCCATAGACTAAGCAACACAAGTAGACTCCTCATTCCATTGTAAATTTCAAAGCCTTTTTTTCGTGTCTAGTTCATGTACGTCCACACTGATCGCTGCAGTGTACGAAAATTTGTTTCTATTATTTTAGGGTTATTTTCATGATTTGTGCTTTTGGTTATATAATTAGGAGACCATGGGGATGGTTTCCTACACGACGTGGGCGTATACGCTGCACCGCCTGTTCGACGCGACAACCCGGCGCACCATGCCGGAGATATTTTTCAGTTGATTTCAGCGCGGTGCGCCAAGCACGACGTCAGCGTTATTTGGTTAATCATATTGAGTAAGTTTACCATGGACTCAATGGTAAACTAACTTAATTATCTATATATATAATACGTGAAGCCGTTTTTTGTTAACGCAACTCCTCCCTTATTTGTGGACCAATTTCAAAGTTTAAGGTGTCAAAAGAATTGTCTCAATATGTAGTTTTGCAATAAGGTTTTAGAACTTAAAAATGTCTACTTTTAAGGGCGTGAGACCCTCTCAAAGGTCGGGTTTTCCCCATAAGAAATACATAGAACAAATTTAAAAACAAAAAACAGCTGTTTATAAAAAGAAACTCATTCGCTTTTTGGGAGTAAATATTAATGTTTTAATATTCAGTAGGTTAAGACCAAGTTAAACAGTTAATCAGTTTTGTTGGAAGAACAGAAAATGCCTCAAGTTCAAAGAAGAAATGTTGAAAACGGGAGGAGGAGACGATTAATAATAAGATATATCTTATGCGTATGAGGAGAGTAGACAAAGAGAGGCCTGGTCTAACAGATACCCATCCAGATTCAAATGCACTTGGTGAGATGAATAATATTTGACAGTTATGCTATGCAACTTACTTTGGAAGTGAAACAATATACGAAGCACATGGTGTTTTCACGGTGGTAAAGTAAACTTGCCTTATCACCGATCAAATGAATGCATGCAAGAAATGTTTACTTCTGACACTGACAGATTGAGAAATTTCAAAACATTTAGTAGAAACTATAATAATGCCTTGACTATGATAAGTTCAAATAGTAAGATTATACCAAATCTTTGCGGACCTTATGTTTTTATTGTAAACTTTTGTATTACTCGGTCTCTACTTCAATTGAGAAAAACTCAAATGGATTGTTTACTTCTAGGTTATGTTGCACGTATTTCGGACAAAATTATACAAAGTTTTTGGACTGAATTCACCAGCACAATCCAGACATTTCAAGTCAAAAATAAGAAGTTTCAAATACTCATTTGCTATTGAAAGTTTTAGTGGCAATATTAGACCAAACATAAGTGAAGGAATTAGTGTTTATGTATTTAACGATCGAGTAGTTACAGTCAAGTTTATTTTTAAGACTCAGGAGAGGCAAATAATATACGCTTTTCAAAAAGAGAAAATGAAAATTGATATCCAAATTTTATAGCTACAAGAGTTATCCAACGTATTTCGACATATGAATCCATACTTTCAAAACTTTGGGACAGGTATAAAAAGAGGAAATCCACTGAACAACGTGAGAACGTTCTGATGTGGGGCATATACTGTGACCACGAATACTAGAAAAGACACTGTGACTGACAGACAACACGTTAAAATATAGGTTAACCAACTTTCAATGATGTTGCTGCTTTAGCCTATTCAAAGCATATTTTGGGTGTCCAGTTAGTAACCCAGAGTTTGTGGGTAAAAAATGGAGCACATGAAACGGTTGAGATCATCCAACTTTTCAGGATTCTCTACGGAGAAAATTTGTTTGATTAGAGGGAAGTCTCAAATCAAAGAAATAAAATGACCCAAACTTAAATTACTTAACACAAGCTATCAGTAAGGCAACAGTTTTCTTCAACTCTCAATGCTGGAAAAACTTTGTTTTAACATGTTAACTCGAATTGAAGCAGATAGTTTAGCATTCATTAGAAGTTATCAGTTAAAACTGAGACCAGAAATGATGTAGGTGAACCTTTTACGACCCAAATAGAGATATTTAAAATTAGTTCCTAACAAGTGTTTAAACAACTCTAAGATGTAACTAGAGTTACTCGAATTTAAGCATAACGTTTTCCTCGGCGTTATGTTTCATACTATGCGGCTAATTGAGCCACACGGGTTCTCTAGTACACAATAATTAGTTATTAGTGGAACTTGAGATGTAGTCAAAGGTGTTCACTTCAGAACAAGATGATGCACTTATCGATTTGGTCCGAGAAAATCCTGTAATTTTTTACTTAGCCTATCTCAAAAAAACTACCAAGATTGTGAGAAAAACGTTTGGATGAAAATTGCAACTGAGCTTGGGAAAGACCATATTTTTTATTATAATTTTTAAATTATTTTAAAATTGTATTGATTATGGAATTACAGTACGTTACAGAAAGGCCAGCATGTTATGCATTTGGGGGTAACATTCATCACAAATAATAAAACGGAAAGTAAATAAAAGAAACGTCTTATAACACTTAAAACACATATTTACGCTTATACTGTTACTCACAAGACGGTAAATATACAAAAACGATGGTAAGTGGTGATCGATTTTGATTGGACACTCCAATCATCATCAGACCCAATAGGCGAATGACAAGAATCTTGAATGGCGTCCCTACTTATACCCTATTGGCTACCGGAAGCACCGGCCAATACATTTTTATAAGTACAACTGGAATCTCCTTGTTCCTTGGTTCTTTTAGCGGCAGTGATGTTACAGTTGACCTTGATTTTAGCGTATTGTGGTGTAATTCTCTTCTTGATACATTCTTTGTTGAAGTAAATATCTGCAATCTTCATGGAAATCTTGATTCTTGTATCCCTATATTTTGCTGCTAACTATGCTTGACTAGCTTCAATAAATAACTTCTTGATCAGCATTGTACGTGTTATTAAATTTACGGAAAGTAAATAAAAGAAACGTCTTATAACACTTAAAACATATATTTACGCTTATACTGTTACTCACAAGACGGTAAATATACAAAAACGATGGTAAGTGGTGATCGATTTCGATTGGACACTCCAATCATCATCAGACCCAATAGGCGAATGACAAGAATCTTGAATGGCGTCCCTACTTATACCCTGATGGCTACCCGAAGCACCGGCCAATACATTTTTATAAGTACAACTGGAATCTCCTTGTTCCTTGGTTCTTTTAGGAAGAGAAAAAAAAAAGAACCAAGCAAGTTAGCAGCAAAATATAGGGATTCAAGAATCAAGATTTCCATGAAGATTGCAGATATTTACTTCAACAAAGAATGTATCAAGAAGAGAATTATACCACAATACGCTAAAATCAAGGTCAACTGTAACACCACTGCCGCTAAAAGAACCAAGGAACAAGGAGATTCCAGTTGTACTTATAAAAATGTATTGGCCGGTGCTTCCGGTAGCCATTAATGTATAAGTAGGGACGCCATTCAAGATTCTTGTCATTCGCCTATTGGGTCTGATGATGATTGGAGTGTCCAATCGAAATCGATCACCACTTACCATCGTTTTTGTATATTTACCGTCTTGTGAGTAACAGTATAAGCGTAAATATATGTTTTAAGTGTTATAAGACGTTTCTTTTATTTACTTTCCGTAAATTTAATAACACGTACAATGCTGATCAAGAAGTTATTTAGTGAAGCTAGTCAAGCATAGTTAGCAGCAAAATATAGGGATACAAGAATCAAGATTTCCATGAAGATTGCAGATATTTACTTCAACAAAGAATGTATCAAGAAGAGAATTACACCACAATACGCTAAAATCAAGGTCAACTGTAACACCACTGCTGCTAAAAGAACCAAGGAACAAGGAGATTCCAGTTGTACTTATAAAAATGTATTGGCCGGTGCTTCCGGTAGCCATCAGGGAATAAGTAGGGACGCCATTCAAGATTCTTGTCATTCGCCTATTGGGTCTGATGATGATTGGAGTGTCCAATCGAAATCGATCACCACTTACCATCGTTTTTGTATATTTACCGTCTTGTGAGTAACAGTATAAGCGTAAATATATGTTTTAAGTGTTATAAGACGTTTCTTTTATTTACTTTCCGTAAATTTAATAACACGTACAATGCTGATCAAGAAGTTATTTAAATAATAAAATTATGTTTTTTTATCCAATATTATACCCTTTTTTGAATAAATAACCAACATAAATACATCTATTATTCAAGTCTTTATTTAAAGATTGTATGGTGATTTTCTCTTAAACATAATGCCAACATCAATTCTTCTTCCTCCGCCTCTTCTTGAAGCAACGAAGCTGCAGCCAAAATCTTAGCTATCTCTCCACACGAGGACCATGTCACTACGCTGCGCCGCGTCTGGCCAGCAAACACGCTGCTTAGGAAACCACAACCTCGCCCGCGGACATTGGACATCACGCCTGCGTCAGTGAACACTGCGTCGGACAGGTCGCGCTGGCGTGGTCTAGGAAACCAAGGCTTAAAGGCTTTGGGTGTGTTGCTAGCTTAGTGGTTAGTGTCTCAGACTTCAGTGCGGGAGGGACCTAGACCTAGGTTCAAATCCCAGGATATCCACAAAACTATTGGTTTGGACTGCTTTCCCGAAAAAGCATTTGATCAACACTCTTTTTCATCTCCTCTGAAAATGCCACCGGCGTAGACAAGCAAAAAAAAATTGGAGGTGGCATATCGCTCAGGCAAAGCTGTTGTCCCATCTCAATCTTTTTCGTGTCTCTGCTGTGAAAGACTAACTGTACAGCACTTACATGATGGAGTAACACTGTCAACCACTAAGTTAGGTGAGTATAAGGCCTATTTTGCGTTTTTTTTTTATATTTAAAAACTTAAGCATAAGCCAGGATCCATAGCAAATGAGTCTCATTTGGAATCCCCAAAGGGTATAAAACACTCTCGCGCTTTGTAGGCTACAGATGATTTTTCAGGATGCGTGCTTAATTTGCCTTGGCAAAAAAGAAACTGCTATTTTTTAACAGCACACTTTGTCAGCAGCTAAATTTATTAGCAGTGTTATTGTGACACCAGGAACAATAATAAGCAATTTTAAGTGAAGATTTTAAACAATACCGCAGGCCTATAGACATTTCTAAATTAAGGCTTTAAAACAGGATTTAGATTGGGTGTAGGCCTACACTTGGAGGCCTTATAAAGCCCGTTGCACCAGTATGTCACAGTTAGGAGTAAAACAACATTTAACAGACTGACTTTACTTAAAAATATGGGTCACAGCAAGATGAAATTCTGTTTGGATCCATTGCAACACATCAACTTATGTTTTAGGCTAATTGAAAAAAAAAATGGTGTAATTCCTAGAAAAACACAACTGCACTAATACCTAGTTTCATTTTACTGACCTGTTGTAGTACTGCAGTATGATCCATGCTGAGCTCACCTGGCACTGACTGCACCAAGTACTGTCCTTTGCCTACAGGAACGACTGTGAAACCATTGCCAAATATCTTCAGCTTCCGAGCAGCACACAACAGGTCATCAATAGTTATTTCTTGATGATGCTGACTTTTCCCTCTCGCTTTTATCAATCTTTGTCTCACTTCATCCAAACTTATCAGTCCTCCATTCTTGTCATTTGTTGCCAGGCATACTTCAACAATCTGTACGCCAAGTTCATAGTAAAAGTCACCGATCCCTAACACTGACCAAAACCCTTTACCTGAGGCCAATGGGTCGACTCCTATTGACGCACACATTTCCTGAAATTGACGTCTGAAAGTTGCATTTTTCTTTATTTCATTTTTATGCTTTGCAGCAAACTCTTCTAAATTTGATCGAAACACTTCCAGTTGCTTTGACATTTGTTCTAGTTGATTTTCTTGGATTTCTGTTCCTTTGTCCTTATACTTTTCTTGTTCTAGTTTTTGTTTGTGAATAGCACCAACACCAGCTCTTCGTCTCATTGTCTGAAAATTAAAAGTAGAAATATTAACTCTGCTAAATGATTACAACTTTATTTCTCATTAGACCTAATCTTATCAATAATTGAGATGGGGACGCCACCTAACGTGCGTAGCCTATTTTAACCCAAAAGAAGATGAGTGTAGAACGGTGTGAGATGTTCTGTGTAGTTTTGTTACTGTGTAGCAACTAAATTTTACTCTTGAAACCATGTCTGGCAGTGTTGCCAAGTGTACCTACAATAATTATCGTATTCCCTCTTGTAATATAAGGGAAAACGGTAATATCACTTTGTTGCTGTATACCACTAGTGTTGCCAACTCTCTAACAGGCATCAGCTGTGCTAGAGGGCGCCTATTGGATATTAACTTAAGTTCTAATAAGAGAATTTTGAGAGAAGTTGGCTGCCATTTGTACTAGAGGTAGAGTACGTTGTACCTTTACTTATTGTAGGTACTCAGTACATTGGCAGTATGGGAATGAAATAAAGCAATGAGCTGGTTGATTTTTCTAGTTGAGAACCAAAATAACATCATTTTACAGCGTGTCAATGTCAACTTTCTTTCTAGCAGAGATGTAGATTCCGTGTGTGATAATACTCTCACGGTGAATTTATATATTATAGCTCAGTGGTAGACTGGGAGGGCCAAAGCGGCAGGCGGCAGAGACAAAGAGAGTCAAATTTCGGTCATTTCATCATCGACTTACCCATATTACATCCCCCTAGATAAAAAATTGTGTCTGGTTCTGGACCTGGATGCCATTCCTCATTGGGCTAACGTATCAATTAATTCTACTAGGCTAGGCTATCTAACAAAATAACAACATTACCAAGATAATAAGATAGGTTATGGCCGCTATCCTACAAAAACACAAAAAATGGCTAAGGTTAGATTCTAAGATTGTTACCTACCAAGTTATTCCTTGTTACAGTACTTTAAATACTGTAGTAACTTATGATGATTTAAAGTACCTATTATAAGAAGGCTAGGTATGATATGATTATCGGAAGTAGAGCCGAACGGGGTACAGTTTCTTAACTGGGCTATGCTAATATCGATTGAAACTATCGATTCGATTAGTAAACCTTCATGCGATTTTTCACCATCAGCAAGTTTGGTTGGTTAGGTTAGATTATGATAGCTTAATTTTATAATAGATAAGTTATATTTAAAGATATCGATTATTAACCCTTCCAGGGCTAAATTAAATGAAGGGCTGGAGCTTAATTATTTTTTGCCAAAAATTAAAAACTAAAGTGGTTGTGTTTTGTATTTATTTTACTTTAAATAATTCATGGATCATAAAAAGATTTTCCTTAGGGCTGAACTAATTTTTGTACAAAAGTTATGAAGAAAATAAAATTTGATTTGACGGATATATCCGTCTTTGGCCCACAAAAAACATAAGGTGGACGGATATATCCGTCTGCCGTCCTCAGTGATAATCACAAAATATGAACACTGCCAATAATCTTGAGTATTCTTGTGGGCGGTAGACGGATATATCCGTCAACCTTAGGCTATTCCTTCCCTCGTTTTATTTTTTATCCGTAAAAATATATCTATCATTCTGAAGTAAATCTAAACCACTCAGTTTTGCTCACATGTCCTCAATCCCATTCCCCGCCAAGACTTCCACTATGTAAAGACTGTTCTTCAGGTTCATCATATCCATCACATTCCATACTATTATTTTCCCTGCCAAGTATAAAACCCCTGCTCAGACATACTTTTATTTAGCATCTCAATAACATCTTCAATTTTCAGATCGTTTGCATTAGTAACTTTAGCTCAATAACATAAAAATAAAGTACAAACACAAAATGTAAACATCACTCACTTACAACCATGTGTGAAGTGACAGCAATATTTACTTACGTACACTCTATGGTGCAAAATAGCCGAAACAGCTGCGGCACTTATTATTGCCAACCACAAAAACAAAATAACCCATTTATAATGCAGTGTAATGTTTATTACCGTATTATAAACATTGTGTATCAATTCGCTTTTTGGACGGATATATCCGTCTTTATCCCAGAAAAGAAATTTCTCGGGACGGATATATCCGTTTTCAGCCTGGAAAGTAAACAAAGATTGACGAATATATCCGTCCATAGCCCTGGAAGGGTTAATCAATATTTTCAATTTTATAGTTTCAATCGATATTAGCATAGCCCAGTTAAGAAACTGTACCCCTGATTAAAAATACAGATGATTTTAGGTTTGATAAATAAACACAATTTGAGTGGGATTCACCTTAGCCTATGCTATTAATTAGAGATGATAAAGGTTGGTACCAGTAGGGTTAAATTCAATTATATTACACTTCAACTTACCAAATGCCTACTAATTTTACAGATCAATCACTGAAGCCTATTTTTCGGTTAAATTTGTTTAAGACCTCTACAAAGGAATCTAGCTGGACAGTAATAAAAAATCGATTGCGTATCCAATACTATATTAATAAAGTAACAGTCATAAACTACTAAGTATTATTAAAGAAAATACTGAAAACTTAACATTGTCAACATATAGGTATTCTTGTTTTGTTTTTAATTTAAGGTTATGGTTATGACATAAAATGAGACGAGATGACAGCTCAGCCTCAGCTCAACGCTCAGCTGATATTATTTGACTTGACGGGAATCTTGTTTTTCACTATTGGCTTTTCTTCTTTTTGCCTGAATTGGCTGGCTTTAGATAGACTATGAGCTTCGTAGTTCACTGTTTTAACACGAACTATTTTGCTGCTTCCTCTGTTTCTATAATAGGTGATAAATTATGAACAAAACTTATTGTTACATAGTACATACATTTTGTTTACTATTTTTTTATTTTGTCTGTATTATTTACTTTAGGAATTCAAAAGGTACTCTAAGTTAGGCATTAATGTGTATTGTTTTCTTTTAATTTTTTACTGAAATTGATTAAGCATAGGTTATTTTTTAAGGATGTTTCTCTTCCTGGGGTGCCTCAGGGATCACTTCTGGGCCTTCTGGCCCTGGGCCCAGTCTTGTTCACTATCTTTATCAACGATTTGGTTCAGTACATGGGTTCAAATGTATTAACTACTTTTTGCTGATGATGCCAAGATCTTTAGAGAAATTGCACATGTGAGGTACTAAAAGGCTCTACAAAATAGCATTGATTTGCAGTCAGTGTGTTGTCAGATACATTAAATGTTTTAGAATGTCTCCAAGTGCTCTGTGGTAACTTTCAGAATTAGAAATCCCATATTCTGCATCTAAAGACAATAAGACATTTTAGTACAAAACACAATAGGTCTTGTATATTGTATAATATATAGCTTAAATCAAATCAGAAATTATGGCGACGAGTCAGGTAGGTATGGTTTTGGCTTATGGACTATTTAACATGAATCATAAATAGGCCTAATTTAAGGACAAACAAGAATACCCCCGCCGCAGCAAACCTGCAGACTAAGCGAATTTCCATTTACCTGGCTGGGTTTCTACTAAAATATACCCTGAAAATTGTCAGATTTATTTCATATTTAAATAAGATTAATTTTAACTAGTGTACATGTTGCTTGAATTCGAGCAATTGTAAGGTATTACAAGAGTTATTTCAAAACGAATAACAGTCATATTTACAATGAGTTTAAAAGAGTAAACTCAAAGATTACCGGTCCCTAAAGCATTCCGGCCGGTTTTCTCCTTCTCAAAATGCCTCGCTGTACAGGCAACACAGAGGTCATTGATAGAGGGCCATTTGAGAACGAAAAGTCGTTTTGGGGTAGTGTTAGGGCGCATTTGTAACCTAATAGTTGAGATTGTCCAGGGTCAGGTGCTGACGCGCCACTGTTCTGTAGCTGCGGTCGTTATTACAATTTTATTACACCTCCTGTCTATACAGGGTGATTGATATAAGTGTGCCAGCCGTTTTATTCGAAAACTATAAGAGATATCAAAAAAAGTTAAATAGTAAGTGCCTTGGATTTTTTATTTAAAAAATTATAGTCAAGTCAAAAAAATGATTTTAGCCGCAATTTTTTCAATATGGCCACCAACTTTGATTTTTCTTATGGCACACCCTGTATTTTATGATGTATTCTGGTAGAAAAAGTAATTTTAAGACGATTTTATGCATGTGATTTTTTTCATAAACCTAACCGTTTCAAAGATAATAATGGTTTAAATTGTGAAATTTTGAATGGTTTTCGATCAAAACAGCTGGCATGCTTGCTTAGGCCTTTATCGAAACTCTTTCTAATGCAGAAATTTCAAAACTTTAACCATTATTATCTTTGAAACGGTTAGGTTTATGAAAAAAATCACATGCATAAAATCGTCTTAAAATTACTTTTTCTACCAGAATACATCATAAAATACGGGGTGTTCCATAAGAAAAATCAAAGTTAGCGGCCATATTGGAAAAATGGCGGCTAAAATAATTTTTTTGACTTTACTACAATTTTTTAAATAAAAAATCCAAGGCACTTACCATTTAACTTTTTTTGATATCTCTTATAGTTTTCGAATAAAACGGCTGGCACACTTATATCAATCACCCTGTATGTGTCGTTGTCGTCACGTCGGAGGCATTTAAAAGAATAAAACAACAAATAAACAAATTATAGCTACACAAAACAACGATAAATGCACAAATTTAAGTTACGATCATGCTAACACGATCCGTCATAGCGACACAAAATAACGATAAATACACAAATTTAAGATACAGTGTGGCCTTGACCATACTAACACGATGGTATTTACTCAGGGGAGGTATAGAAGAGGCTACGATGACAGCTGAGGGCTTCTTATTAGCTGAGGGAACGCCATTACCGTAACAAAACTTTCGGTAGCCATCGGGCCTCGGTGGACTAATGGTTAGCGTGCCGGGCTGATATACTGTAGATCCCGGGTTCGAATCCCGCTAGTGGCATTAACTTTTTGTCCAAGATTTTTTTTATTATCAGCAAGTTTGGTTGGTTTGGTTTGGTTATTACAGTTTAATTTTATAATTAAGTCATTATAAAATTTTAATTGAGCAATTTCTAGTTTTATTTAATAAACAGAATTATTTTTCCGACTACTAAACTCTTGTTATATTATTTCTTTATCAGCAAGTTTGGTTAGTTCGGTTAGGTTATGATAGTTTAATTTTATAATTAAAAAATAGTAAAATTGAATTTGAAGCATTTATAATTTTATTTTATGAGCAGAACTATTTTTGCGATTAGTAAACCTTCATTGCCAAAGTGCTCTCTACTACAGCGCTGTTCACGGAGGAATTTTGAACTAAATGCCTCATTTGTACCTCCCCTAAGTCAGACCACGATCCGTCTTGGGGGTTATGTTTACACAAACTCAAATAGTAAATAAATGTACAGTACCATAGATAAAACATTCTCCCTTACTCAATGCGTTTCATTGAATTGAAAAATAAATAACAGCAATTAAACTATACAGCTGATCAAAATGTAAACAATTTTGTTCTTCATAAGGATAACATGGGAACTTTCAAAGCCACTGGGGGCAGAGCCCAAGGGACTTTTTCAAACATTTAAGTAAGGCCAGTTTGCAAATCTACGCCACACGCTCTTTCCAATGAGACGTCAATGGATAAAATCGGTTAAGAAATGGCGGAGGAGTTCAACCGACAAAGTTTCATGTAGCGTATTAATTATATAGATGAGTATAGTACAAAGGTTTGCTGCTGCAGGGAAGGTATTGAGGTGTGTTTTTATTGAAATGTCGATAGCTTAGTATGAAATAAACAACATTTCCAAATTTGATTAAAATATATCCATAAACAAGTTTATATATTCTTCATAAGAATAACATGGGAATTTTAAATTTAAAGTTTTTTTTAATTATCTCCGTAACCGTTAGGCATATAACAACGCTTAAATATACAAAATTATTTTTTTAAGCTCTACAAAATGGTCTGAAAACGTAAAATATTTATTTCTTGTAAAAGTCAATCGACAATGATTTAACAATCACGCATGGAAGTAGTTGTCACGTAAATTATTTAGGGGGATCTCCATAGTATTTATAACAGACTGCTGAATTATATTATTACGTCATTACTATCTTTTACTGTCGTCACATCCAGCACAGAGAGCCTGGGATAAATAAATCATTACCAACTTTATCTCTAGTCTCTATAAGTTGACTGGGTTCCTTAAGAAAACACCGACCTATTTTTATTTTGTATGAAAATAACCAACTTCTGTTAACAATTAGTTGGACCCCCGGTTGTTATAACGATAACAGTTTGTTTATTCAACTTGAACTCTTTTATGGACTTTGTTTCGGATATGTTTGGACAGAAATGCCGATGAGGATAAATCTTTGCGGTACAAAACCATTTAAACAGTCATCAAAACATGAGTGTCTAATGAGAGAGCATGGTTTAGATCAAGTGGTTGGTCGGCAAAAAATCAAACACTGAACACTCCAAAGTGAATAAAAATAAATAATCATTCTAAGAACATATTATACGGAAGTATGAAGTGATTGATAAAAATGTTTATTCATAGAGATATTTATTTTCGAATTTAAAATGTTTAACTTCTTCCTTAAAATACCCATAATAATTTAAATCTTACTAGGTCTAGTATAATTTTTAATTATCAAAATATTAGTCTGATAAGGGTTGCGTGGTTGGTAACTTCATACCTATTAGCTTTTATCTCATCAAATTAATTTTTATGATATCACAACAGCAAATGTCATTATTTTAGGGAATGGATCAGCTCTTTCGTCACCAAAGGCGATGCGGGCAATACAGGGGAATTCATTCCAGCATTGACTATAGATTTATGTTGTCAACGACAAAAGTAGCAATACTAGATCATGTTTTTAATCTTGTTCTACAATCCGTTATTATTGAATTGCATAAAATCACGTTTTAAAATTCATTCATAGTCCATCAACTAATTATTGTACCCGGCTGAGAAGTGTCTCTATTTAAATAACTTCAAGTATCAGATAAACATACTGATCAAACACTAAACCATTTAAATAGGTAGTAAGCCTAATATTTGTTTTTGATTTGGTATAACACTTTCCTTATTAGTTGTGTTGCTACTGCGAAGACGAGGGAGATAATATAGCTTGAATTTTAGCCTGAAGGCATCATTAACTGACTCGTCAAAGGTCAATGTTAGGGAAACCCCGTCAATCTCCCCCCAACCCACTACCACTGCCAGTGCCTCTGTAATTGTGGCGACGAACGGTTTGTTGAAGCTTGCAGTCATGTGGCGAGTGCAACTACAGCTGATTGTAGTCAGCTGTTTGGGTAAGTGAGTTATATTTAATCTGAGACAAAAAATAACTTTATCAGCCAAGTCTTGTTAAAAAAGTAAAAAAGCAAATACTTGAAGTCAACTCAAATATAAATACTAAAATATAGGTAATAATGTCAACATATTTTAGTATTATTTTTAAGCAATTTCAATTTTATTGTACTACTTGTGTTTCTTTTAAGAAAAATTATAAATACTGATTAGGAATCTAGTAAGTATAGTTACAAGATAAAATAAGTAGTAGACCTAGGTTCCAAATTAATGAGTAAATATTCTATCACCAAATCTCTTGTGTAACTGTGTGTTATGGAACTTATGTGTTTTTCAAAATACAGATTCATGATTAGAATTTCAACATTTATGGCATTTTGTGTTATATAGTGTACTTTAAATTCACTTATTTATTTGCCTTAATTTTGAATTAATTTCCTATTTCATTTTATTTTACATCTTCAAAATGGTAGATAAATGTTGTGTGGAGGTTTCTATGAAATACTTCTGGGTTGGAGGCAGTATAATAATCTTAACTTGACTAATTGATACAGTAAAACCAAACAAGAAGTTTAACTCTTTAAGTTTAGTAACATTGTTTTATACCTTTTTCTCTTACTTACTTGTAATACTTGTCGTCTTCGTCGTTGACCAATGAAAATTGGATAGACTGCGTCAGAAGTGTGTTGAGGCTTTTTATTGCTCAAATAGAGACCCATCTTGTAACTCTTGAAGAGAGTAGAGCGGCCTTTTCACTAAGCAATCCTTCAGTCTTTTCTTAAAAGCCTTCGGGTTCAGGTTCTTCACCTCATCCGGTAGAGCATTAAAAATCTTCAGGGCTGACTGAGGATACGCTCGCTGTGTCATACCAAGACGACATCGGGGTATGTCCAAATCACCAGCTCTGCGGGTACCGTGGTCATGGTGACTCCCTCTTTTTCTAAAGTCTTCGAGGTTTACTCTTAGCATAGTTAAGATGCTGTAGATGTACTGACTGAAGACGGTGAGGATCTTCAAGTCAATAAATAACGGCCTACAGTGGTCCAAATGGCCAGAATTGGACACAATCCTAACTGCCCTCTTCTGAAGAAGTAGTAGGTCCTGAGTATCTGTAGAATGTCCCCAGACCACAATCCCATACACAAGGTGGCTGTGAAAGAGCGCGTGGTAGACAGTTACCAAATGTGACTTAGTCAACACAGATTTGAGCTCTCTGAGAAGATGGCACACTCTAGACAGCTTGACACATACCTGAGATATATGGTGATTCCAGGTTAACTTCGGGTCAATCCAAAAACCCAATAGCTTAACAGCACTTTCCTCCCTTGCGTCCGTCTTCAGAGTACACAAAATCGACTTGGTTTTCTCGTCATTAAGCTTTAGTTTGTTCATATTGAACCACACTTTGGCCTGTTCAAGGAGATCTTGGGCTTCAGTCCGTAACCGTGGAATATCGCCCCCTCTGGATATGAGCGTGGTGTCATCTGCAAAGAGCAATGTAGAGCCATTAAGCCAAAGGTCATTAATCATGATCGAGAATAGCAGCGGTCCAAGCACCGAACCCTGCGGTACCCCGTGGGTTAAACTTTTAATACTGGACGAGGCCCCATTTACCGAAACCAGCTGTTTTCTATTGGCAAGATAGCTAGAAACTGTCTTTAGAGCTGTACCACCAACTCCATATTTTGTCATTTTAGAAATAAGCACATCATGTGACACCACATCAAACGCCTTGCTTAAGTCGCATAGACTTAGCAAGACTGAAGACTTATGTTCAAATGCATCAATTATAGTGTTCATAAGGCTGAGTAAAGCACTGGTAGTTGATCTACCCCTCCTAAAGCCATGCTGTGCATCAATCAGCAGGTGGTTGTGCTCTAGATAGGATACAAGTTGAACTTGAATTACGGTCTCAAAGATCTTAGAGAATACCGGAAGTATTGAGATTGGGCGGTAGTTTGATACAAGTGAGGAATCTCCTTTCTTGAAAACAGGTATTGTACGGGCCGTTTTGAGTATGTCTGGAAAAACACCTACCTCAAGACATGCATTTATAATTTTAGCAAGTGGGGGTGCTATAATCTCAATAACTGATTTCAATACATTACAAGACATCCCAAATACATCTTGGCTTTTAGAAGTTTTGAAGTTTTTCACCATAGATATGATTTCATGAGCACTCACCTTGCTCCAGGTGTCAAGTGTTAGTGTTGATGAGTGGTCTGTTACTTCCAGGGTGGGATCACTCTGTAATACAGGCAAACTATTTACAATATCACCAGCTATATTAACAAAATAGTCATTGAAATCGTCAGGGCTTGTTAAGATCTTAGGCCTTGTTCCTGTCTGCCGTCTAGCATTGACTATGTCCCAAGCGGCCTTACATGGGTTAGGTGCCGAGTTTATGATGTCACCAAAGTGACTCTTCTTTGCTTCATTGACTTTGGAGGAATAATCCCTTTTTACCTTACGGTACAAATCATAAAGGGTTTTTTTCCTAACTTCATCTAAACCACATCCCAATAAAATGATACTACTTTTAGTTTTTGTCCTAATGTTCACAGTAAGTTACCTACCTAAACTATTGAATTTAGTCTGTAATCTGAGGTTACAAGGTTCAAGGGGCTAAGACAATAATCAGAATGAAACAGTAAAATATGTTATTTATTGGTTTTGTCTATTGCTTTATGAGTAATCAGTATTTAACTATAGTAAAAATACAAATTCAGTAACAATAAATAAAACCTGAAATTACAAAAATATATCAAATAACACTTTTTTAATAATATATTTAATATTTACACTTAATACCGTTTACTCACAAGACCGTAAATACATAAAAAAGGTAAAAATGTAAGTGATGATCTATTTCAATTGGATACTCCAATCAAAATCGATCACCACTTACCAACCTTTATACCATCTTGTGAGCAAACAGTATAAGTATAAATACATTATTAGAAGTGTTATTTGATGCATTTTTGTCATTTCAGGTAATTTAATAACACGTACGATGCTCATCAAGAATTTTTTTACAAATAAAAAATTTCTAAAAATATTACTCAAGCTATAAACTCAAATAACTCTGAGCTTAATATTACCATCAACTCGACCTCAGAAATATAGTGCCTCACACTGCAATCTACTCGTACATGCTGAATTCCCCCAACTTTGGTCACTGATTTAAATAAGACTGATGAACAGCGGTTGGCCAGCACCATAGAACATCCAGGTACCACCTCTGCACTCCCAACTCCCACCAACCCTTGTGTACATTTTGTAAATCCAAACACTATCGACCATTCCTGTCTGTGAACTTGTGATGGACTGGAATAGCATTAGACGACTGAGACCACAGCAAGCTAATCACAGAACGTGATTTATACTTGGCGGGAGTGTTTTCTTTCACAACATTTTCAATTACCACGACTAGACTAATAGTCTTGTAGGGATGGAAATCAGCTGGAATTTTTAGAATACTATTGAATGAAGTAAGGAACACAAGGAACACAACGCAACATCTCAAATTCAAATTAGCTCACTTGACTACAACGGGAGCTTGATGGAGACTCTAATTTTCGGATAACATATTCATCAGAATAGTTTTCTCTTCTATTAATGACCTACACATTTTTCTGAAGTTGATTCACAACTGAGCTAGCTAAATTAGTTAAATCCTAGTTCAAAATAAGAGATACAGGACAAACTTTAGTAAAAATATTAAATACCGTACCGGTAAATATAAATATTTAAAGTATTCGAGACTGTTATGGAGTTTTTACACTTTTTAATAAAACAGGTACATTAAAATTATTATATTATGTGTTTACTTTAAAATGACTATACAGGTTTATGCCTCCATACTTGTTTTAGCTCTTCAATATAATATACGGTATATAATGCTGATTGCATTAATCCTAAACCTGCAAATGTTTATATTTCCAATTGTTAATTCACACTATTAACGTTTTGTTTGCTTTACTTAGGTTGCATCAGCTATGCGGAATATCTTGGATGTTACCGAGACTCTCAGGGTGATTTATTCAAGGGTCATCAACAGAATTTTATATTTAGTTTGACACCAGAGACATGCATATCTGTGTGTGAACGCAAGAACTTCCAGTACGCTGGTCTTAAATCCAGGTAACAAATAAGTAGTGAACACATACACTCTGGTGAGATACGTTTCTCCATTTAACACCAAAATGCAATTGTTTGTACCTAATAAGAACATGGCCGGTGGAAAACCCTCATAGGGAAATGATAGGTAAAGAGTATCAAAATGCCTGACCAGAGGTACAACTCACAAAACATTCTTCCTAACTGCCATCCTGGTTCCTGATTATTTAAGATGTGCCTCTCACACCAATCGGGCCAGGGACAGAGATAGGATTTGCACCCTTCATCTACTGTTGTTTCCTAGCTGAGACCATACCTTAAGCCCCGTGTACATGTAGCTAGTTTACTAGCAGCTAATATTCGCTATTAGCACTAGCTGGGCACACTAGCGCATAAATTCCCATCTACACGTGGCTAGTTATTAGCGCTAGTCATGTAGAAGTGAAGTGTTCATTGGTCGCAATAGTCATCAGTTTAGCACAAAATGTCTTCTGTTCCCTCAAATCAAAATGTTTTAAGACAAATTTTAAGAATTAGTGTACAAAGAGTTGTGTGAACATGAACTTAATAAAAAGAAACGATCTGAGTGGGTTCGAACGTGGATTAGAAAAACTTTATGATCCGGTCAACATTCCACTTAAGTTCACTCATTTTAACAAACACCTCTACTTGTCAGACAAAAAACAACTGATGCACTATCACTGGCGTATGGCGAGTGGCGATTAGCACTAGCAGAAGTGCAAATACCCCGCTAGTACCGCGCTAATTCACTAGCTCTAGTGGTCACGTGACCATCCCCTCCACTTATTAGCGCTAGTATTATCAAACATGTTCAAAATGACTAGCAGCGAGTAAAATGCTAGCGGGCTAGTAATTTTTACGCTAATAGACTGTTTACACGAATCGAATTTATTAGCGCTAATCAACTAGCTGCTAATACTCGTGTACACGGGGCTTTAGACAACTCTGCTAGTTTAGAAAATCCAATAATGTCCAAGCAAAGTAGTTCCACAGAAAAGTAAGGTACAGAGGAAACACACTTAAGAGACAACCGTGTGCTTTCAGCTCTAGTATGTTGTGCTGGAAATATACTTGTGACAAGGAAGGAAGAGCCCAAACAGCAAGCACTGTGCGGAAATTCCTCTCGCACTGGGTACAGAGTTTTCCTCCACTGTGAGCGTTGTAGTACATGAGGGCAAGGGGGGCAGTGTTGGACTTTTCCGTAGACACCACTCAAGTGTACCATGGAGTGTATCCTCTGTCCCTTACTTCTCTGTGGTACAGTTAGTTCTAAGCTTATCTCCTACACTGCAGAAAACATCAGGCTCAGTTTTCAGATGTTACTATGGACGAATTATAGCTCACATAAGTGATTTTTGTTTGTTTTTGTGTTTATTCATGACATTTGATACAATGGACGTTGGGGCTTAAAGGACTAGCTATTAAAATAAATTTTGCTTCTAAATTAATTAGAACTAATATTACCTGAATCTAAATACAGTATACTTAAGCTAGTGCTGAAGGCTAATTTTATTTTTTGTACTATGTTAATATATTTTTTATTAAATTAGCTGTGACATAATCACCAATAAAATGGTAAATTATGCTAATCCGCAATGCATGACAAAATAGTCAAAAAAGAACGTTGAAGTGATAAAAATCATCAATTCATATGAAAAGAGCTGTGACAAGGCAATTGCAATAAATTGTTACGTACTGTATCTAATATGTAAATTTGATCCCCCTGTTGTGCATCCCCGGTTTTTTAATTTTTATTCCATGACTGTAAAAGAATCTTAGTTACCTATTATGAGTAACCGGTATTCATAAATTTATAACTGTTTCACAAGAAAGGGCCTATTTTTGTGCCAGAATCTTGTGTCTGTGTGACAAGAATGCTCCAGCCGCCAGTCTGAAGATAGACGAGTCACATTGTATAGCCTCGTGTGTCGGAGACTCTAGCAAGAGATGTGGTGGAGATGAAACTATCAGCGTCTACACCACCAAACTAGCCACCAGCGAATCTCCTGGTAAGATAAACTTTATAGTGCCATAAAACATTGATGATTGCTGACTTTCTTAGTTTTAAAGAAAATCGGTACCTAATGCATTTTGGAGGAGCTGCTAAAGTTAATTGTATTGTGTTCCATATCCTGTATAAAATACTGCTTTAAGGTTATTGTTCAAATGATTGGCTCACCTTATTAGAGTCTTTACATTCATTAACTTTGTTTGCCAGTACATGGATATACAGTAGAATAAAAATGGCAAATCTTTTGTTCAGAAGAACTCCTGATGGTAGAAGGATGATGAACGTGTTAAAATATAAAACTATTTTCCAGCTCAGGAATCAGGAGGACAAGTCACTGAGAACTATGTTGGGTGCTACAAAGATAACGTTAACGATCGTCTGCTATCTGGATTTTTCAAGGAATTACAAAAGAACTCACCGGAACAATGTAGAAACACTTGCTTCAAGCTTGGCTATCTATATGCTGGGGTTGAATATGGGTAAGAATCATTCAGTTAATGGTTGTTTAGCACTTTGGTCTGATGTGTCTAGCTAGACATATTATTGTTGTCTAGAGTTCCTTTTTGACTATTGATAAAACTGGACATTACAGTATTTTAATCAAAATCGTCATAGTTGATGTGACCCACTGACAGATTGTGCTGATCTCTATTACTGATTACTGTCGAATACACAAACTTTTTTACCAAGTCAAACTAATGGAATGGCTTATTTTGTTCTATAGCATTGACTATACACATGATAGCAACTAACTGTCAAGACTCATAAACTTGGTCAGCAACAAAAAATTGGTTGGAAAATAGAATTTTCAACACTAGCACATTCTGTGACTGGCTCAAACAAATATGGTCTTTTTTAATAAAATAATGGCAACAACAGGTAGATGTGTAATGTGATTACTACAAAATTATTGATAACGGTTACTTGATCGTACTGATTTACATTGGTATTACATTATACACTTTCATTCGATAAATTTGGAATAAATAAATGTGCCTTTTAATAAAAGTAGTTTATTAAGTACTATATCAAAATCTTTTTGACATGAAATTTGGTATGTAGGTACTAATCCATAGTATCACCTGATTAAAATTTTTTTAAATTTTTATTTTTAATGGGGATTTTCTCATAAAATAACGAAAATATAGAATTCTCTCAAAATTGGTGTGAACGATTTTGATTAAAATTTAGCATGTTATACAAGTTTTATCTATGGCTATACTCCTTTTGACGCTGATCTAGATGGTGTAACCCCTATTGCTATAAAAATTATGGTTCAAAAGTTATTGCAACTTTTATTTTAACAGAAAAATAGGATTTTTTCATAAAAACAACTTGACCGATTTTGATTCAAATTGTGTGTATCTTATAGTAGTCCTTTTAACTCTAAACGAAATGGAACCCTATTGCTGTTAAAATTACAATTCAAAAGTTTATTACAACTTTTGTGTGTTTTTTTTTTATACATGATCAAAGTTAACTCTCACCGCTTACCCATGTGCCATTGATAAGGGTTGTTGACAAGCTAACGGGAAAAAGTATATGTGTCAGATTTCTGATACCGTATTTTTGTCTCTAGAACTTAAGCAAAAAATTCACATATTTGTTTAAACTCTGCATAGCAGTTAATTTACAAAATTTATCCGAGATGAGGTTTTGATACAAATACAATATACTGGTAACTATCACCACTCGAAAACCATTAACATTTTCCGTGAAAAGTCTTTACTGCATTAAAAAATATACATATGACAAATGCGTGTTTGCAGAGTGCAGTGTTTCTGTGGTGACACCCACCCTCTACCCTCACTCTTGAGGGATGCCTCCCAGTGCTCTATGACATGTCCTGGTAGCTCAGACACCAAGTGTGGTGGGAGAGTCATGCTGTCCATCTATGAAACTGGCATCACAGGTAACAACTGGTCAGAAGATAACCCATGTTATTACCATGTTTTTACAGTTGTTAAACAAGACTAGGTGGCAGAGTGGTTGCACGAGGGGAGCCTGTAAATTAAGGTCTCCATAGGTGTAACTAAGATATCCGAAAGGGGGGGGAGGTTACACCGGAGGGTTTGGGGGTATACCACCCTGTGAAGGCGGGGGGAGGGTGGGGTTCGGACGAGGCCCTCTCCCTGGAAACTTTTGAAAATTAGACCTTTAAACTAGCGTTTTTAGGCTATTTAGAGACATATAAAATAGATTTTTTTATTGTAGAAAAAAATTGTTAATTATAAAAAATCATGTTTAAATGTCAAAGGGATAGGTTTAAACCCCTAACTCCCCTTCCCTGGATACGCCACTGAAGGTCTTTATCATGCCGTGTACCAGTACCGTGTTCTTTAATTCATCCAATATTATTCTAGCCAAATTAGGCTATCCTCTTCTTACTAGCCAAATCTACGCTCATACCAAGAGAAGTTTAAATAGTAAAGGATGAGTTAAAGAGCACGGCACTGGTCTCAGATATAAGCTACTTTTCTAGTTTGTGATGGGAGCTTGATTGAGACAAATTGCCCTCATTGTGATCCAGGGAACCTGAGACTGTGTAGGTTCAAACATGACTACGATCACCTCTGAACCAAGTTGTCCAAGTTAATATGATGTCTGGAAATAAGTTGACGTTTGTTGGTAAATAACCACAGTTGGAACCATTCTCTTACAACATAGTGTAACAATGTTACCATAAGTTACACATACTTTACACTATGTGTCAACTGTTGACAAGACATTAATACAGAGAACACAAAAGATAGGAATGCTCAATTGAGGCTCTTATAACAAATTTGGTGTGAATAATTGCAACATGACTGCATGTGTGAAGATACATCAATTTAAAAAAACATTCCTATTTAGATGTAATAATTTTGAATTCCCACTGTCTCGATAAAACTAAAGTGTATATCTTAAATGTTGAAACCTTTTGTATTTATTGGCATCTTTAAATATTGTTACAGACATTCCTGTGTTTGGAAATAAGCTTGGATGTTTTGAAGATGAAGACCCCAGAGTGCTGCAAGATTACAAACAAGAACTGGACAAAACAAATTCTCCCCAGAGATGTACAAACTTGTGTAGAAGTTTAGGCTTTCACTATGCAGGAGTTGAGTACGGGTGAGTGAGAACATGTTTATGTTTAAGCACCGAGGTCCAGGGGGCGCCGAGGTCCAGGGGGCACCGAGGACCAGGGAGCGCCGTGTTCTAGGGGGCGCTGGGGTCTGATTGTAATCGCTCACCGCAATCGCGGTGCTCTGCTTGCGGAGGTTTTTTAAGATTAAAGAATATATTCATGATTTTGCTGCAATCCCGGGGAAAGATGACATTGTTTCCATGACTGTGGGAGACGAAGATGATGTCTAGAAGACTGAAGAAGATAATCATGATTTTGCTGTAATAGCGTAAAAAGATGACATTGTTTCCGTGACCGTGAGAGACGAGGATGATGTCTAGAAGACTGAAGAAGATAATCATGATTTTGCCGTTCCAAAATGAATGGTAATGTTGCACCATCCACCAACAACCTCAATGTCTAGTTCTATTAATAGTCAAAATTGCAGGCAATGAACAAAAATTTAGTTGACTATTTAGCAATCAACACGTGGAATACTTCACATTTTTTCTGAGCAGCTTTTCTCTGAAGTAGAGTTTACATAACATGTAAAACTCAGTTAAAAAATCTAGGGTCACAAGACTAGTTTCAAAACCATTGCAACAACCATAAGCACCAGCTAACCTTTCCTTTTTTTTCCCCATTCTGTGAAGGCTCGAGTAATGCAAATTGACTGTTAGTAACAGATCTTCCCCATAATATATTTAAGACTCATCCTCCATCACGTGCGTCGCCGCCATAGGGGACATGGGGGACGCGTCCCCCCAATATTTGAAAAGTCAGTTTTGTCCCCCCCATCGCAAATTTTAATAGGAATAAAAAAGAAATCATACAGAATGCGTGTTCACCCGATCGATCCCTGCCACCGAGCAAGGTGCTCGCTCCACTGTATGATTCGGAAGCGTACGACATGGTGCGGTGGTGGGGGGCTGTTCCGATCCACGATCCTCGAGTTGCACTGGATGCCTAGATGCTTGTCTATACGTCGCTTCTTCTTCTCGCGTTTCAGTCGGCAGTTGTTGATACTACAGTATTTAGATGTACGTTAACCTTTTTCCCCTCGTGTGTTTTATCTGTAGTATCGGTTATATAGTTCTTTTAATTTAAACTTTTTGAAAGTACGTTGAACTGTTTCTTGACAAATGAAAAATGAAACGAGCAGAAGGACAACAAAATTTGTTATAATTTTTTTAAAAAAAAAGGACAATGGTAAGTAAATATTATATATTTTTGTAAAAGATAAAAAGAATTTTTCCGTAGATAGTTATTGATTTCATGTTAGGGGATAAAAAAAAACTTATATATATATAGGCCTACTTTCGGTAGGCCTAAATCAGAAGAAAATATTTTAAAAGTGATCTTGGTGTCATTTGTTATTCTAACAGGTAGTTCGGAAGTCTTACTAAAAATGTAACTTTGTTATAGTTCAAGAAACTGATGAAGAACATATTACACCTGAACAGAAGAAAATATTGTCACCATCAAATTCTGGAGCTGTATCATCATTTGTTTGCTCTCCATCAGTTGAAGCACAGCAAGATGGAGGAAACAACCAAGACATAGTGGCATCAGTTGACTGCTCTATTCGTCACACTTCTCCTCATCAGCCTCAGATTCTATCAGGGGATTTTCAGGTGCAAAAACTTTCAGGTAGAGTGCTGAAATTCCAGACCAGTTGGTATGAGAGATTTCCTTGGCTACATGTGGCTGGAGCAGTGGAGCTGAAGGGGTAAGCTGTTTTTACTGTATGCTCATGCAGTTGTGTTGTGCCCAGCAAAAACACTGGCTACCAAAGCAGATAAGGCTTTTAGTGAAAAAGGGTTCAGTAACTGGAAAAAAGCTATTGAAAAGTTTGGAAACCACCAAACGAGTGATGCTCATTGCCAAGCTGTTTTAAGCTACTCTCAGTTACAAGCACCTATTGAGTCACAACTCTCACATGTTAAACTCGAACAACAAAAACTTGCTTTAGAATCTCTTATGACTATAATAAGTAGTGTAAAGTATCTTGTTAGACAAGGTATGGCAGTAAGCAGACACAAAAAATGATGAAGGTAATCTAATGGAACTATTAAAGGTTCGCTGTAAGGACAAGCCGTCTTTGAAACTGTGGCTAGAAAAAGATATTACCTATACTCACCCTACTATACAAAACGAAATCATACAGATATTGGGAAATGAAATCGTATCCAGTATAGTTCAGAGCATTAAATTAAGCAACCCTTTGATGTACTCTGTCATTTGTGATGGGACGCGAGATATTGCTGGCAATGAACAGTTCAGTGTTTGTGTCAGGTGGGCTGATGCTGATCTCGAACCTCATGAAAGTTTTTTAGGCTCTTAAGAATCGGCAAATACATGTGGAAGAGATATAGCAGCTCTTATTTTTGACGTGTTGCTTAGATTGGAGCTCCCTTTGTCCAATCTTCGTGGGCAAACTTACGATGGAGCTGGTAACATGAGTGGTATCCATAAAGGAACTCAGTCGGTAGTAATAGAGAAACAACCACTTGCTGACTACATTCACTGTGGTGCTCACTGTGTCAATCTAGTAATGAAAGCAAGCTGTGAGACTTTAAGAACTGTCAAAAACGCAATGGATTGGGCTCATCAGTTAGGAGTATTGTTTTCTAACACAAAAGCTAAAGATTAATACAAACATATAGTTGAAGATGCAGCTCAAGGTCCAGTCAGTAATATTGCAAAAATAAAACCTCTGTGTCCCACAAGATGGATATACTGGAAAGGGCAAATCAATGAAATTTTGCAAAAGTATCCATTAATTTTGAAAACTTTGAATGAACTCACAGAACGTAAGTATGAAGGAGCCAGTGGTTTGTTGAGTGTGTTTGAAAGATAGGACCACGTACTTAGGCCTGATTATGGGTAGAAAAGTTGTTGAACTTTTGGAACTACTGAACAAAAGTTTTCAAGGCGAGAAGAAAACAGTGGTTGGATTATATGAATCTGTTAAACTCATTGTTGATGGTCTGCAAAACCTCAGAACCAACCAGCAGTTTTCTTCTGTCTACAAAGAGTGTACCAAGTCCATAGCTGAGCTGGGCCTAGAAGAATTAAGGCTCCCAAGACGAAAGAAAGTGCCCAAAAAGATATCTGAGGGAAATGCTAATGACTACAGCTACGAGTTTACTTCAACAGAAGAACATTTCAGACGGGAGTACTTTGAAGTCATTGACACGGCTGTACATGGTCTCAAAACTCGCATACTTGAAACACAGAAAACAGATTGGTATGGAAAAACAGATTCAGCTTGAGAAAGTCCTATTAAGAAGAGACAGTTATGATGTCAGTGTGCTAGCGCTATATCCGGAAATCAACGTTCAAACGTTGAAGTCAGAACTTGAGCTTTTCCACCTAAGAAACAAGGTGCTGAATTTAAAAGACGCCAAGGACGTTCTGACCTCTATGACAAAAGAGGTGAGGGAGCTATTCTCCAATGTTGAAGGTATGGTGAGACTAATGCTTGTGTGTCCAGCTTCAAGTTGTAAAGCAGAGCGAAGTTTTAGTGCTCTGCGGAAACTGAAGACGTACCTAAGATCCACCATGACTCAAAAAAGATTGAATCATGTTGCTCTTTGTTACGTCCACAAAGACGTATTAGACAAGGTGGAAGAAAAACGGGTTGCAAAACTGTTCATTTCAAAATGTGAAACTAGGAGAAATGTTTTTGGTTCCATGAAGGATAGATAATAAATAAAGAAATAAAGAAAAGTTAATGTTTACGATGTAATATGAGAGACCGCATTTAATATCAGTAGTGTGTGTGTAAAATAAAGCATATTAAACCTGATAATAAGTTTTTACTTAATACCTACTGAAAAACATTTGATTTAGTATCAGATTTAATTCTATGTTTAAATATGTTTTGAGGTCAAAAACAAATTGTTTGAATAAAAAACCTGCTTGTAAAAATGTAAGATTGTAGGATTAAATATTTGTGTTCAAACGTCATTTTAAGGTCACAATTTTTAAAAAAATTTCCTTTACTTAATGTACGTCAAACTGACAAAGATTTCACATATCATTAAGGTCCTCTTAAACCGTTATAACTATTAGAATAAATAAGTGTGCCTACGGTATTATAATCATAAAAATAACAATCCAACGTTGTATAGTATTTGAATGGCATAAAGGCGAGCAATTTTGTCCTCTTTGTGTTTCCTCTATGTTTTCTTTTTCTCTGGTCTCTGTACTCGTTTGCAGCTGTATGTTGCTTTATTTTGATTTGACCTAAGTTTTACAAGGGTCTGACTTAGGGGAGGTACGATTGAGGCATTAGTTCAAAATTCCTCCGTGAACAGCGCTGTAGTAGCGAGAGCATTTTGGCAATGAAGGTTTACTAATCGCAAAAATAGTTCTGTTCATAAAATAAAATTATAAATGCCTCAAATTCAATTTTATAATTTTTTATTATAAAATTACTATCATAACCTAACCGAACTAACCAAACTTGCTGATAATGAAATTAATATAAAAAAGTTTATTAATAGAAAAAATAATTCTGTTCATTAAATAAAACTAGAAATAATTGCTCAATTAATTTGGCATGAGCATTTTGGCAATCTCTTCTTTCTTTTTCTTCTTTTTTTAAAAAAGAGGTTGGCGGCCTCTTTTAACCTTGCATTTGCCCGTCCACATAGACTAAGCGCCCGTGCGTGGATCGTTAACAGCAAAGCAAGGAGTGAGCCGGTACAGTACAAAGGTGAACTGTACTGATAAAATGTTATCGGCAGTGACCAGGATCCGAACCCACGACATCGCTGCCTTGGGACCGAAGTCCGCGACGCTACCGACTGAGCCACCGACTCACTAAAGGTTTAACTCAATGAAGGTTTACTAATCGCAAAAATAGTTCTGTTCATAAAATAAAATTATAAATGCCTCAAATTCAATTTTATAATTTTTTTATTATAAAATTACTATCATAACCTAACCAAACCAACCAAACTTGCTGATAATGAAAAAAAATCTTAGTCAAAAAGTTGGTGCCACCAGCGGGATTGGATTCGAAACCGGGACTCTCAGCATACAGCGCGACACGCTAACCACTAGACCACCGAGGCCGACGGCTGAAAACCATATTGTTACGGTAATGGTGTTCCCTCTGCTAATGAGAAGCCTACAGCTGTCATCGTAACCTCATCTATACCTCCCCTGAGCAAATACCGTTTTACAAGGTTTTACCTAACCTCTCTCAGTGTTTTGTTTTGTCACGTAACAGCTTTACACATGTTTTTACATGACAAAATAGTTATAAATATTAATTATATAGACATATTTTAGAGAGGAAATACTATGTATTTTCTTTAAATCCATGCTTAAAAACGGTGTTTTCAGAGGCAGTATTTTCAAACAATTTTCCCCGGACCCCCCGTTTGCTAAGGGGGTATTCCATACCCCCCAAACCACCGGAAGGACTGACACGCCTTTGTCCCCCTCAAAGTTTTGATGCTGACGACGCCAATGTCCTCCATTCATGTTTGCCTCAAACTACAAACTGAAGATACCATAGCAAAGTGATCCAGAAGTATGATTCTGAATTATCAATCTTGTAATATGTGGCAGGATGGAATGTTTCTGTGGCAACTCTGTTAAAGCCAACACAACCAGAGATGCAGAGGACATTCAGTGTAACACTCCATGTCCAGGAGATCCCTTTGACACCTGTGGAGCCAACTGGATGGTGATGGCCTACCGAACCGGTCTCTCTGGTAATGTTAAAGTTACATATATCTTGCTCTCTAAACAGAAAGTAATATCCGTTGTTAACTAAAATAAATAACTAGTTATCGGAGTGGATTTAGCCTAAGCAGGTTTCTGGTTCAATCCTGAAAAAGGTGAAAATATTTGTCATGGTTCAAAACTGTGTCCTTGATCCTCAAGCTTACAGTATAATAAAAAGTATCCTGACTAAAGAATCAGCTGATTTTAGTCATTAACAACGCTATCATCTCATTCAAACAACACTCATGGTCCACTCATCTTCGCCTTAAAATATTCAATCCTGGCAAAGATTCAATCTAATTTTGTCCAAACTATGAATCTCATCCACATATCGTTTGTAGTTTAACTCTCAAGAACAGCTAAGCTGCAAGTATGGTCAAATGTGATCATCAGCTAGCTCTTTACACAGTTTATCTTTCATGTGACTGTGAGTCAAAATTTTAAAATTGCAATCAAATTGAAGTTGATGTTAGCTACTTATGGTTTTTATTTAACTTAACCCCTCGTACTGTTGGCACCTTATTGTAAGTAACTCAGAATATTTTTATTCTCTAGAACCTGCACCTGAGGCCAAGAAAGTAGCCTGTGTCAGTGAGAGAAGCCAACCTTTGAAAGGATTCCGTAAAGACTTTCCTCGACCTACAACTCAGCAAAGGTGTGCTAAGCTGTGTTATGACAAGGGATTTTTCTACTCAACACTGATTTCCAGGTAAAATATTTATTATTGCCTTGTTTCAAGGATTAAGAATGAAGATTGAAGGAGTTATATCATATAAAAAGAGACTATTTTCATCAGTATTGAATACTGATTAGTATGTTAGTACATATATTGATTTCACAATCATTCACTGTCCAGCATCTCTAGACTTAAACTGGCTGGGTAGCTGAGTGGTTAAAGTGCTCGCCTACTAATCAAAAGGTCGCCGGTTCGATCCTGAGAAAAGTAAGTAGCTTTTTGATGGTTCGAAACTGGACCCAGCTGTTCCTGATCATTGGGCTTTAAATAAATGATCCTGGCTAATGAAACAGCTGATCTTAGTCAGTAACAAAGCTACACAGATCATCTCACTCCATTCTACACTCATCCTTCACTCATATTTGGGTTACAATACGCACCTAAGTGGCGTCCCCATCTTAATGATTGATAATTGATAATTGATAGAACAATCAAAAGAGATGCAACCTCCACCTCAACAACCTCTCAGGATCTCTCATCATCTGCCTTGCAACCAAACGTAGATTTTTTCTGACTCTGACAACATATGTCTCAGAGACCATCAAAAGTGAAAACTATGGAAGCATGTGATAAACATGGATCTAGCCATAAGAAAATGTGTGATAACCGTCAAGTGGGAGTAGTTAGCTGAAGTAGTTTTAGGATGTTTCTTGAACTGGTCCCTCAATTTGTGTTACTGATCTTCCCCCTCACATCAAAACTGAAATATTATATTCTTTGCCTGGTTACCATATGCAGATGACAGCCCCAGTCTACATTATGTGATCTATGTCTCCGCCCCCACCTCCTCCACTTCTCCCCCTCCTCCTCCCACCACCATTTCCTCGATGCAAACCCCGCCAAACTGAAAACCTTCTTCTATCTTACACCCTGATGAAATAACCACACTGATATCAAACTCTCCAAATGATTTTTAATTCACCGTTGTGAGTCCTTTGTTGTTATTACACATTTCCACAAAACAAGTAAGAACGTAATCATATCAGTAGCTCTAGATCTGAAACTGAACTCATAGCAGTATTTTCTAAACTAGAAGAAATGTCAGAAGGCTAGAGTTTAGCTAAGGAAAAAACCGCGATCAAACTTCCTAGAAAAGTACCTGGTCCTGAACCGGCTTACAAAACGAAAAGAGGTTCCTTTGACAAGCAATGTACCTAGTAATATTACATGAATGGACCAGTACATATTGTAACGGTCAAAAATTTGACACCTAAAAATTTTTGACCTTATACATAGTAAACGACGTATTGAACAAGAAGAGAAGATCGTTTTATTTGCTTTGGATTATGGAAGTAGTAACATAAGGAGTGGTAAAGTACTGGGCTGAGGAAACGTTGACCCCTCCTCATCCCGGACGATTCTCGGAACGGCCGCTGCCTCGCCAGGCGCTAGTGTCGGGCCTCGAGCAGGGTGGGGGAAGGCAAGAGCCAGTGGCAACGGAGAGTTCACTTGGTCAGTCTCGTCCCAGCCACCAGCCCAGTCAGACACATCCTCCCCGGTGAGAGCAGTATACCTTTGGTTACACGTTAGTAATACTGTAGCTACACTTTACCGCTCTTACGTTCGTTTAGACGTCGATAAGGTAAAATATGTTCGATCGTTGCTTTAAGTATTATTTTGTTTCGTTAATTAAAGGATGAATATACTTTTGTTTGCCTTTTTAGTTTTGCATAGAGGTTATTCGCTGTTTCATCGTCTTGGGAACCAGGGCCGCTACCCTGACACCCTGGGTCACTTGACCGACTTTGTTCGCCGTTCTTCGTTACTAGCGATCAAGGCACGATCCCTCGACGCCAGCTCGCCGTTTCATCGTTTTGGGAACCAGGGCCGCTACCCTGACACCCCAGGGCACTTGACCGACTTTGTTTGCCGTTCTTCGTTACTAGCGATCGAGGCACGAACCCTCGACGCTAGCTTGCCGTTTCATCGTTTTGGGAACCAGGGCCGCTACCCTGACACCCCGGGGCACTTGACCGACTTTGTTCGCCGTTCTTCGTTACTAGCGATCGAGGCACGGTCCCTCGACGCTAGCTCGCCAATTCATCGTTTTGGGATCCAGGGCCGTTACCCTGACACCCCGGGTCACTTGACCGACCCTGTTCGCCGTTCTTCGTCAATAGCGATCGAGGCACGATCCCTTGACGCTAGCTCGCCGTTTCATCGCTTTGGGAACCAGGGCCGCTACCCTGACACCCCGGGTCACTTGACCGACCCTATTCGCTGATACTCGCCGTTAGCGATCAGGGTACAATCCCTCGACGCTAGTTCAAAGTTTTGATCGTTTTGGGAACCAGGGTCGCTCCCCTGACACCCCGGGTCATTTGATCTACTTCTATCGTTTGGGAACCAGGGTCGCTCCCCTGACACCCCGGGTCATTTGATCTACTTCTATCGTTTGGGAACCAGGGTCGCTCCGCTGACACCCTGGGCCACTAGATCGTCTGTAAATCGTTTGGGAACCAGGGTTACTCCCCTGACACCCCACGTCATTTGATCGACATTGTTTGCCGTTATTCGCCGTTATCGATCGGGGTACAATCCCTCGACGCTGTCCCTCAGTTGTAATCGTTTTAAATCGTCAGAAGGTAGGAGTTGGTAATGATGAGCCGTACAGAATAAACCTTGGTGTTTCCAGTCTGGACAGAGTTCTGAGCCTTCTCCTACAAACAAAACTCTTGCGACCGTGTTTAGGTACAAATCAATCTCGACCGACCCCTGGAAATTTGGGAACCCGCGCAGACTGAACTATTTGGGCATGGATTTAGATGCCGAACACCCCACCGAAAACACGGTCACAATATAAAAAAATGTTATGCCGAGTTACCACAAAAAGAAAGGAACCCAACAATGAACTTGCATTTACAACGTTAATATTAGGTAACAATTTTAGTTTAAATTACGAAAACCAATGTAAAATTATTGAAATCATATAAATTATTACGAGGTATTGTAAGTTTCTTTCTGTATAAAAAAAAAACTCTAGTAATAATCAACTTAAAACTAGGTAAAACAGTCTTTAACAAATCTAAGTAAGTTTTGGCTCTTTGTGTGACCCAAAAGCATGGTAACAGTTACTAGGACATCCTGTAATCTCCACTGGTTTTAGAGATCTTTGCGTGTTTGTCTGCCTTCTTTACAGTGATGAAAATTTGTTGAGGACCCACTAGAAGACGAGCTGCTTTTGGAAGAAGAGTAATAGACTATAGCATATTTGCTCCATTTTAATTTTCAGACTACTCTGTGTTTTCCCTGTTCCTCATGGGGTTTATCTTTGGGTATTTTTATTATGAGGGTGGAAAAGGGGTCTGGAGGCCTGATGATTCAAAGAAGGGATTTTATTTTGTTTGCTTTATATTTTGGGGTGGTAATTTTATTCAGAGCAGGATCCTGTCTGTGATTTTTTTTCTTTACACGGTGTTTATCCTTTTGTTTGTCTTTTTTTTCATCTTTGTGCTCTTTCTGCTGACAATGTAACCTTATCAGTAGCTCTAGTTCTGAAACTGAACTCATCGCAGTAATTTCTAAACTAGAAGAAATGTCAGAAGGCTAGAGTTTAGCTAAGGAAAAAACCGCTATCAAACTTCCTAGAAAAGTACCTGGTGCTGAACCGGCTGTTACAGAACGAAAAGAAGTTCCTTGGACAAGCAATGTAACAAAAGATGTAAAAACACAAGATGTTATCTCATTGCCTCATTGTGTTCCTGAGGTGACAGAGTAAACCTTGCAGGTGAAATTCAATGGCCAGAAGTACCTGGTTTGTTACCAGACACCACAGGGTCTAACAAACGTGAACATAAAGAGAAGAATAAAAATAAAGAACACAAGGAACATCGTCAGCATAAAGAGCACAAAGATGAGGAAAAAAGACAAGCACAAAGACAAAAACTGTGAGAAGAAAAAAAACACAGACAGGATCCTGCTCTGAATAAAATTACCACCCCAAAAAATTAAGCAAACAAAATAAAATCCCTTCTCTGAATCATCAGGCCTCCAGATCCCTTTTCCACCCTCATAATAAAAATGCCCAAAGATAAACCCCATGAGGAACAGGGAAAACACAGAGTAGTCTGAAAATTAAAATGAGCAAATATTCTATAATCTATCACTCTTCTTCCAAAAGCAGCTCGTCTTCTAGTGAGTCCTCAAAAAATTTTCATCACTGTAAAGAAGGCAGACAAACACGCAAAGATCTCTAAAACCAGTGGAGATTACAGGATGTCCTAGTAACTGTTACCATGCTTTTGGGTCACACAAAGAGCCAAAACTTACTTCTTTAGATTTGTTAAAGACTGTTTTACCTAGTTTGAAGTTGATTATTAGTAGTTTTTTTTTTCTAGAAAGAAACATTATATTAACATATTAACGTTGTAAATGCAAGTTCATTGTTGGTTTCCTTTCTTTTTGTAGTAACTCAGCTTTTCTTTTTTTTTTATATGTACAGGTCCATTTATGCAATATTACTAGGTAACCCCCCCCCCCCCGCCAAACAATCTCTTGCCAAGAATCCTATTTACTAAAATTTAGGCGCATTTCATGTTAATATTGTAAATCAATACTGGGGTAAGATAGGTGAAGAAGTTGTATCTTACTAATATTATAAATCTGAAAGTTTGTGAGTTTGTGTGTATGTTTGTGTGTATGTTTGTGTGTGTGTTTGTGTGTGTGTTTGTTGCTCAATCACGCATAAACTACTGGACGGATTGGGCTGAAATTTGGCATGATGATAGCTCACATTCCCGATTAACATTAAAGCATATTCTTATCTCAAAGACCCTTTCGGGCTCCGCCCCAGTGGCTCTGTAGTTTCCCATGTTAATCTTATGATTTTTCATATTTAAAAGGAATTAATGAATCTTAACAGCTGTCTCAATTAAACAAGTTGGTTCTGTTCTATGATGTTCAACAGCATAAAAGTTACAAGGATTACCAACAGGGTGCAGCACTATTAATTTTTTTTTTTATTTATGACAACAGCTAATTTCCAACTAAAAGGTGAGTGAGCGTAGCGAACGAACTTCAACCTTGAGGCGAGTTAGCGTAGCGAACGAGCTAACCTGAAGGCATGTGAGCGCAGCGAACGAGCTCCAACCTAAAGGTGAGTGAGCGTAGCGAACGAACTTCAACCAGGACGTGAATGAGCCATGCAAATACTTATGAAGCTAAACGGGGCGAAGCCCGCGGGTACAGCTAGTAGTACATACATAGCAAAACTGTACAAATAATTTATGTTTGGCTTTGCATTTGTTTGTATTTAGTTACAAAAGTAGTTTGTCTTTGGTCACTTAGTGGAGAGTCTTATTTTTTAAGCGAAGAGTCTTACTGTAGTAGTGTTTTAGTTTTTTTTTTAGTTAAATTCACTTTTTCCTTGACGCTTTTCCAAATGAAATTAAAGTTGTCATTTGCTTTTTACAGTTTTTTAGTGTCATTGATTTGATTGTGAGACCACATAAAACTAGTGGCTTGTAGGGGCAATAGCCCCTATATTATGGTAATTATTTTGTACAAATTATTAGTCTCATGGATTACCCTACCTTGAATTATCATTTAACATTTTTGTAAATTATGATATGTATAATAGTTATTACATACCTGCATAGTGCATTTTGATGTCTGCTCTATTTAAAATTAAAATTCCAAAGGACATACGGTGTGTTTATAATATAAACTTTCTAATCATAATTTACAACTATGGAACATTTTCCAATAAACAATCTTTAAGACTATTAATTAAATCTATATAGATTTCTTTAAATATAGATAAATTATCTTAGAAAATCACATAGAGATAATGTCATCATCGAAATTGTAAACTGCTAATTCTACGACAAAATCTCTCTGAAACAATTTGTTTTTTGTAGTATCCATTTCGGTCGATTACTTGGTCTTTATATGGTTCTAGTACTATTTTAACATAATCTGGCCTCTTTACTTTTCTGAAAGCAACATATAGTTGACCATGGGTAAACACTGGGTTTTTTAAAAATAAATGCCCACTTTTGTGAAGGTTCGTTCTTGCGCCAAAATTTTACCAAATCAAATCGTTCTTTGGTCCTACCATGTGTAATGCAATCTCATTTAAAAGTGGTAATTTATACACAGGAATAAATTCATGTTCATCCGATGCTCATTTATTCTTCTTCCATTAATATTGTGCCAAATCTGGTGCCTGTTGTTTTCATTTCGAGGAACAATAACTCTGCGTGGTAGTCTTTCGACATTATACATTACTGTGCAAAAAAACAATCCATTGTAAAGTATTAAGCTTAAAAGTATCAAATTGTTTGCAGTTCAAAAGATTTGATCTAATTTTCACTTTGTGTTGTTTACTGCTTCACAAACAATTTTACAATAACAAAATAATAACATATGCACATTCAGGTGTAGTTATAACTTTTTTTCAATTTATATAATCACAGCTGTGTTTACACTAAATAAAAACACATAAAATTAGATTCCCATGCTATTTAAATGTGAATTATTTTATTCTGTTACACCCTTTTGGCACATAATTAAGAAAAATGAATAGTTTTCCCTCAAAATTCACGTCAAGACCTTTAAAATAAGACCCCTCCCATCCTTCTACGGCCATCCAGTCACTCACAATTTCTTTACAAAAATTTGACTTACGGAATTATATATATAGATTTTATGTATAATTTGTGGAGGTTTGTAAGATTTTATATCAATATCACATATTGTATTGAAATAATTCCTACTATTAAGAAACTACAAATTTAGATTGTCTAGACTTGTGAAATGATGTTACCAGTGGTGTAGTGGAGTGGGAGCTGGGAACGAGTGTGAACGGTGTTTCCATTCTGTTTTTCCCTAAGAACCTATATACTGATAGACGACCCATATGGCTCTTAACCTCTTTTTTAGTAGCCTTGAGTACGACATGCCTTTGACTCAATTTATTGTTTGTTTGTGATACTATTTCAATAATATTGGTAAACCTCAGATCTCAGTTATCATGAGAATAGCTGTGGATGAATATTTTTTCTATGAATTTACATTATGTTTGTTTACTTAAGTTCTCAATGTTGGTGTGGGGATGAAGGACCTTCTAGAATACAAGCCTCCTCAGAGGAATGTGGTAGAAGTCAAGTCCCTGTGTATGAAACTGGATATCCAGGTAAATATCAGTTACAATAAGACATACACATTATATTTCTATTTAAGACAGTTTGATCAAATAGGAAAACTTGTATTTTAACAAATTTCTTTGTACCCATACAAATATTTCTATATCGATAAAAATAATTTAAATTACTATGAAAAGTGCCCAACTTCAATAGATGCTTGTCACTAGTGGAGTAGTCAAGAGGCCAGAGGGGGTTTTGGGGTCACAGCCCGAGGGGAAAGGCCCCTCGATAAAAGGATTTGGCCACGATCGTGAAAGATATTAAGGATTTTCTAACGATCATGTTGTCTCTGTGAGTGTTAAAGAAGTTCAGGATATCTCCGTAGCTGCAAAAGAATTTGATGATTTTGCCACAATTGTGGGAGATTATCAGAATTAATTTGTCTAATGTTGTTTCTCACTTTAATGGTACATAGACATAGACATAGACTTTATTTGCACAAAACATTCCATACATGTCATAACATTTAGAATAGGTGCATTGTCAAAATTAAATCCATATATAAAATATTTAACATTAAAACTTTTAACTTAAAATTAAACACTTAAAAAAAAATTCTAAATTGTAGTTCTGTAAAAGTCATCAATTAAGTAAAAAGCCTTGTCAATAAGAAAATTATCTATTGTATCTTTAAATTTGGTTTTGCTTAATGACTTATAGCATGGCGGAAGCACATTGTACAATCTCAGCCCAGCGTACAATGGAGATTTTTCATATAGGGTCAAACGGTGTCTGGGGAGTCTAAATATATTTTCATTTCGGGTTTCATACCTGTGATTAAAATGTATTGTTTCTGGTAGCTCATTTTTAACTGAATGTATGTAATTTAATAATTCTAGAATATACAACCCCGTTAATGCATGAATTCTTAAATTTTGAAAATGTTTCTTACAAGAACTGCGTGGATGAGAGTTGGTAATAATACGAATAATACGTTTTTGTAACCTGAATAAAGTTTTAATACCAGTAGCTTGACCCCATAAAATTATGCCATATCTTAACACTGACTCCACATAAGCATGATAAACTACTTTAAGTGTCTCAATAGAAACACAGTCCCTTAAATGTATGAATAAAGATGATATCGACCTAATTTTGTTATGTAAATAATTCAAATGTGAATCCCATTTAACTGCGTAGTGGAAAATTTAATAATATTTGTTTTTTCAACATTAAGTTTTAACCCATTTTCTAAAAACCATTGCTCCATGTCCTTTACCACACTTTGCAGAGAAGAAAACATTTCAGCTGTATTATTATTTTTGATCAAAGCAGTAGTGTCATCGGCAAAAAGAATTAGTTCTTTATTAATAGCTTTTGGAAGATCATTAATTTAATGTAAATAAGAAAAAAAGTGGGCCCAATACTGAGCCTTGGGGAACACCTGTGGATATGATTTCCCATGGTGAATAATGTTTGTTGTTATCTTCTAAAATTAAAGTTCTTTGTTTTCTTTCAGAAAGGTAAGATTGTATTAAAGAAAAGCAACTTCCCCCAATCCCATAATCAATAAGTTTTAGCAACAGGAGTGAGTGATCCACACAATCAAAAGCCTTAGACAGGTCACAGAAAACACCTGCTGTGGCCTGAGACCTGTCCAAGGCCTCTGCAATCTCATTAACAAACTGAGTAAGAGCAGAAACTGTGCTTAAGTTTTTTCGGAAACCAAATTGTTTATTGTAAAATAAATTATTACTTTCAAAATAATTAACTGGTCTATAGCTTATTACTTTTTCAAATATTTTAGAAAAATTACTTAATACTGATACTGGACGGTAGTTATTAATATCTGATTTTGAACCTTTCTTAAAAACGGGAGAAATTTGGGAGTACTTGAGTTGATCCGGAAAAATACCATTCTTTAAACACTGATTTATAATAAGAGATAAGGGTTCGGAGATAATGTCAGCAGCAGATTTGATCAATTTATTGGGATTTCGTCCCAGCCTACTGAAATTTTGTTCTTTAGAGAAAGGATGATCTTTTTTATTTCATCTTTATTAGGGGGCTAAGATTGCACAATGTAACCCCACCATCACTGCAGTATGATTTTACAGACGAATAAGACCAAATAGATCTATAATAAGCAATTCAAGTGGTAAGAAATAATGAAACAGAAATAGTTGTTTATAATGTTTTAGATGAATTCATATATACAAATTTACCCTTTTTCAGCGATAGCACACTTAAATCACAAGGATAACTACATAGGATGTTTTGAAGATGAAAACAGAAAGTTTGAAGGTTCTAAAGAAAACTTTGAGACACATTTGACACCAGAGAAATGCTCTTCTTGGTGTTTTAACAAGGGCTACCTCTATTCTGGCACTAAGAACAAGTAGGTTAGAATCTGAATCTTATCTGTAGTTCATGCCTAAACCATAGAAAGTAAGGCTTCCTTCACTTCAAACACACTTAAGTGTAATTTCATCACTACACATATGGAGCACATTTGCAATGAACCACAACCTGATCAGCTGACGGTGGCATGGTAGCTCATTTTGCTAAGGCGTTGCACTGACGAGTGCAGCTTTGATGTCTCTCTACATGCGTGGGTTTGAATCTCGTACATGTGCAATCCATAGTGAGTGCTAATGTGTGGCTGAGCTAAAGTGGAAGGCCCACCTTAAATAACTAGTATCTGCCTTGGGTGGAGGTTGACGGCAAGAGTAAGGTTTAATAATAAGGATTGCGCACAACACCCGTTTTTCTTCTTTTAACATTGGTATAAAGATCCTTATACAAGGAAACAGGTTAGTTTTGGCTTTTATTTTGGTTATTAATGGGCAAGTGTTGTTGAAGTGCGTAAATATGATAAAAGACATAAAAGGACATAACCTAAACAAAATTTTTTTTAACCTGTCGTCAATGGTTTGTTATGATTTTTTCCCAACTTTTGTCTGCACCTTTTATAAAGAATTCTTATATATTATTTGCCTTTATAATATCTATTTGTATTAGACATTTAATTTAAGTAAGAGGATTGTGAAGTTTTAGTCTTTTTTGGTTCATCAGTTTTCTCACGAATAAGATTCTTTTGAAATCTATATGTTTTTAGCAACGAGTGTCGATGTTCAGACAAATCAGCAACAGATAGTATGACAAAGGTTATGGACACAGAATGCTCTTCCACTTGCACAGGTGATTCTACTAAGAAATGCGGAGGAACTGGAAAACTATCCATCTATTCTACTGGAATTACAGGTACGTGTATGGAAAAGCTGGTGAATCTGGCAATTTCTCTTATCTGTGAGAAATAATAATAATTATAACTTTTAAGCAGATTTGGAGCTAGCGTAATTTAATGGTCCATATTTGGACCCAGCTCAATACCTCTAGATATTCATGATCATTGGGCATTCAGAAATTTATCCTACGGTACCATAAAAAATGGTCTTAGTACAAGGCATCTTACTCTAAAATACACTCATCCTCCTTTCACATCAGTTAAAAATGCCACTGTGGTGCTGTAATGAAAGAGATTTTTAATTACCTATAATAAAATTGATAGGTACAAAATATGTATCTGTATTCATCTGAGTACATCAAATAGTACAAATTGTGCACAGAAATAATAGAAAATTATTGTTAGTAGTCATCGAGATCATATAATAGTGGTTTAGATACATTTTCCTTTCTGAGTGATTCTTGTCTGGGCCGACTCTCAAAGGGAGTCTTCATCACTTTGTCTACAAGGTGTCTAATTTTTTTTCAATTAAAACACGTCATGTTTGTTTCAAAGTTAGTGTATAAATTTGTGAAGAAGTGTATAAATTTGGTCTTTGAGTCATTTACTTTAAATCCTAGTGGTCCTGTTAATTCTATAAACAATTTGAGGCTTAGATCGTCTAAATTTTCTGCAAAATTTACTATCTTTTGCAAATGCTAGTGTATTTATTCTGGATGCAAATTATTGTTATGCTTTCGTCCATATTTGCTATTATTTGGAGAGCTTCTTTTACTACTAAGTTGAACTGTACCTTCTTGCTGATTCTCAGATGTACCCTCCATGGGAAAGCTGTTGGGCTGTTACAAAGATGAGTACCGACCTCGAACACTTGACTTGCATAAAACAGACCTGGAGAAGACCAATAGTCCTCGGAGATGTCTCAACTATTGCCTCGCTCTGGGCTTCATGTTTGCTGGCGTAGAGTACCAGTAAGTGTCATATCTGAGAATTGAAAATCATTTCAGTGGGGACATTCACTGAAAAGAGATAAAAGTTGCATATGATATGTTTTTAAACTTTTGAGTTAAGCTTAGAACTTCTTACGTCGCCTGAGCTTTGGGTTTGGTTACGCATTAGACTCTTAGGTCTGGTGGTGTGTTGTTAAAGTCTTCTGTGCAATGTATCACAAGTGAACGTGCCCAATAAAAATTATTTAAGAAAATCTTGTTTGATTGGTTCATCGTTAACATTGTCTTCACAACCATAGATATATTATCATTGTCACCCGTGATCAAAATAAGAGGAAAACATAAACATCATCAACCTTTTAAGCTCTAATGGCCGATATATCGGACTCAATATTAATGTAACCAAACTTTCACTTACAACTGTCAATGTAAATGCAACTCAACCAAAACGACAGAGAGTTATGCCTTGTGTAGTGTGTACTGGTACTGTAACTTTGGAGTTAGGGTGAGAACTATTACACTACAGGACTACGAGTTCACGTTGTTTAAGAGGGGAGGTTAATTTATCAATCGCTGAGCTTACCAACGCGTTAACTGACCTGGATACAGTGCTGTAGATCGATTACTCAAATCCTGTCTTGTCCTGTCATGAGTTTGCATTTGATCGCAGAAACATTTTGAAAGAATATTGATTGTTGTGTTATCTACACCAAAGGCATATTTTTACGTTTGGAAAGGGTACTTAACGTTTTGAAAAGGAATGGTCGAAACATGACAAAAAAGAAATTTTAAAACCATGAATAACCCTTGAGCCTCACGTTAAGTAGTTAGTAAGAAATAAAATGTATATAGGAATGGGGAGTGAAATCAGGAAAGGCTGTGAGGTTGACAACAAAAATGATTGCAGGAAGGAGTGTTTCTGTGGAAACTCTCGTCCCAATTCCACACTAGACGTGCCAGACAGTGAGTGTGAATCTGTATGTACAGGAGACCCTAGTCAGACATGTGGAGGAGGGTGGCGCGTCGAGGCCTACCGTACTGGCTTTGGCTCCAACTCTGAAGGTATGAGAGTCAGACTCTAGTATAGGATATGACATTAATATATTATACTAAGTAATTATCTGAAATTATTACAATTTAAAAGTAAATATTATCAGCAAACTGACACATACTTTCTCCCATAAGCTTGTAAACTATAATGAGTAACTGAAGGGGAAAATGATGGGGAAAATAACAAAAATTGCAGTAACTTTTGAACCAACACTGTTCCAGCGTTTAGCATTGAGCCAATTTGTTCAGGGTGAAAATAAATATAACAGAATAAATTTTAATCATATCATTCATTAGAGCAGTTTTTGTGAAAATCTGATTTTTCCGCATTTTATATGCTAGATTATTATAAAATACGAAGGACTGGGTACTCTGCTAGTATATATACAAATTTGAACGAATGGTGTTTTTGCCCTCTGGGGACATCAAAATGAAAAAGTAAATTGGTCCCGGGCCTAGGTCTTACCGTGCCACCTTAGGTAATAACTAACTCCCTATAGGGAAATTCGCTAAAGATCACCGCTAAAATAAAAGTTGCCAAAATTTAAAAAAAAAAATGCATGGATTAGTACCCTCACGCCAAATGTCATCAAAATCAAACCATGTGTAGTTTGTAGCCCTGTACACATCAACACACACCCTAGGGGGGACAAAAATAAATATTTCCACTCAAAACTCAAAAACGGTTATTTTCTCCTTAGCCTATACTACAAATGTAAAAAGTTTACATTCACACTGACATTTTATCTAACAACCAATACGGATTTCCACTCATCAAATATTACATCCCACATACACCGCTGTAACCACTCATGTTTGTCTTGCAGATCCTATTCTGCCGCCTTCTGTGGCAACTACCAAGGCACCAGACAAGTGTGAACTGTCCCAAACAGTGGTCAATGGACAGAAGGTTTGCCGTGGCACTCAAGTCTTCTACGACAGCTTCCAGACATCCAGTATCAGTGAACAATGGCAACACATTGTCAAGATTGCTGATGCCCCAGTAAGTTTCTCACTTGTATTGTAATTTTGGTAACTTCCTTTTTACTTTCTCTCCTCTACTTATATATATAACAGTTATATGCTGGAGTTGTTAGGGTTTAAAGGATCCGTTTTTGGTGGGCATATGTTGTTTTTAAATGTCCCTGAACCTTTACTTTTTGTTCAGAGGGACATGAATAAAAAACTAGAGACTATATAAGAGTTGAAATATTGATAAAACTTTGATAAACAGTGAATTTTAACACATGGTTGTGTTGCCACAAATTAATGATACTTTTCTCTTTTTAAGGACTACGAGTTTGTCACCTTCACATCAGATGCTACAAACTCGTACATTAGTGATGGGAAACTAGTGATCAAACCTACCCTGATACCAGACAAGGATGTGAAAGAAGGCACCATCAAAGTAGACGGGTAGGTAGGTATTGTAAGTAAACAATAAGGAAAAGCCTGATACCATAGAGAGAGGATTTAGTTGAGTTAAAAACCATAATAAGTATTAACAGTTGTTATTGATAATAGTCTTCTATATTTGTTCAGGGTGTTTTAGAAATTTGTTTGGAACTACAAAAAAAAAACATATAGAAAATAATATAATGGTTTAATTACCTTCAGTCTCCAGTTCAAAGTAAGTCGATTGCGACCTAGGTTTCAGCACGACGTTGTGCTATCATCAGGCTCCCAGTCGAAAATGTTCAGTCCATTGGACGTCGTTTAGTAAAAACGATATACAGTTCACAAGACACAAACACATACACATTTACCGATCGGTATTTACAAGGGGAGAACGAGTACATTTAGTCAAATCACCGGCCGCGACGAGTGACATCCAAGCTACAACTAGCTAGATAATTCTTGTGGTCTACCTGACCTTTGTACTTTGTATTGTCTCGATCCTTGGCTAATACAGTACAACTTTACTCATTGGAATCAGAGGCAAAATGCTAAGGTATCTCCAACATTTTCTAAAATTCAGGAAAATCAAAACCAAAGTTAACGACACACTCTCAGACGAACTATCAATCTATAGTGGAGTTCCACAAGGCTCCGTTTTGAGCGCAACCCTTTTCAACATTGCACTATATGATATGTTGGTGACCCTACCTGACACAACAGACAGCTGCATCTACGCTGACGACATAACAATTTGGAGCTCTAACAAAGACCCAATGCAAGCAACACAGCAAGTGCAAGTCGCCTTAAACGCCCTAAATGATTGGACAGAAAAGTGGAACATGTCAATCTCTTCAACTAAAACGGAGTGTGCCTTTTTTACGAGAAGATACTCATTAAAACACTTCATGCCAGAACTACAGTGCAAGGGAAAACCGGTACCCTACAACCCACATCCTACACTTCTAGGAATAACGCTGGATCCCAAACTTTTGTGGAAAGACCACATCCAACAGGTTGCAGGACAGTGCACAAAAAGATTAAACCTACTTAAGGCTGTTGCTAGCAGATCATGGGGAGCGGATACTCTTATGCTAAGACAGTTGTTTATCTCGTTTATTAGATCAAAAATGACGTACGGAGTAGAAGTATGGGGCTCTGCAGCAAGAACACACTTAAGTAAATTAAACACAATCCAGAACTCAGCCCTAAGAACTTGCTTAGGATGCCTTAAGACAACCTCAGTGCGAGCAATGGAAATGGAAATAAACATCGAACCTTTGGAAACATTCATCCAGAAAATGATCTGGCACAAGTTCCTTCATATATCTGCTGACCCTACATCAAATCCAGCTCTCAGACCAAACCTACAAGAGGACCATCACAAATCTTCCTTCAATCACCAAACAACTTTAATAACTGTTAATACACCAAACGTAACACCAGTGCCCTACCCAACTGTCAACTCCATCCCGCCATGGAATTTTTGCCCACCAAGGATTGAATTGGACCTCCCTGAAATGACATCCAAGAAAGACTCAATAGAAATACAAAAAGCTGCTGCCCTCGAGATCATCCAGTCAAACTACGAAGATTATTATAAGATCTACACTGATGGATCATTAGACCCTGCAGAATCCAAATCTGGAGCCGGTTACTTTGCGGAACGTTCCAACGAGTCCTTCTTTGTTCCGGCGAATTCATGTTCCAGCACTGACACAGAGCTCCTTGCCATCAACGCAGCGGTTGCCCACTGCATGGTTATTGAAAGCCAAAAGATTTGCATACTCAGCGACTCTAAAAGTGCATTGCAACTACTCAAGCAATATAAACCCTCAAGCTACTACCACAGAATTCAAGAAATCTTTCATCTCCTGAATTTGTCCACAGACAAGGAGATTTGTTTCCAATGGATACCAGGTCATTGTGGACTGCAAGGAAATGAGAAAGCTGATAGGATTGCGAAGGCAGCCACCAACATGCACCCTATTCCATCTAAGGAACTAACCCTTACCAGCTGCATAGCCGCATCTCAAAGACTCTTAACGCAAAAATGGGTAGAGAAGTGGAAAGATGAACCAACTGGTCGCCATCTGTATGACCTGCTCAAGGAACCCAACAATACAGACATTTACAAAAACTTGCCAAGATCTGTGTCAGCATTTGCCTCAAGAGCTAGAACAGGGCATATTGTAACCCAATCATATCTCTTTCGCTTCCAACTCGCTGAGTCACCCCTGTGTCTGGTATGTCAAACGGAAGAGGAAACGTTGCAACACATCCTCCTTCATTGCACTCGCAAGTTGGATATCAGAGATGAGCTGAGGAAGAGACTCCAACCTGACTGTACTCTTGGACGAATCCTAACTGATCCCACCTACTGGAGACTGGCCAACCTTGTATATGAGAGACACCGTGCGGTCGGCATTACCTGAAGCTGGATGCACGTACCAAGAAGTAAGTAAGTAAGTATCCTTGGCTAATAGGATGCGTCAATGTCGCTTGGGTCTCGATTATTTTGTTGAAAATTAAATTGGAGCTGTGGTGGATTAGATCGTTCATTAAGTTGTCGGCATCTTGTTTTAATGACTTGTAGATGTGAAACTCTTCTAATGTATCTAATAAAAAGCCTTTTTTGCAATAGCTGAGAATGGTAACATTTTCGTCCAATTTCCCCGCTCTATGGTCATTTTCGATTATGTGTGTGTCACTGTAATCGAGACTGTGTTCTGTGAAACTGTGTTCGCCAACACATAATCAAAAACGACCATAGAGCGGGGAAATTGGACGAAAATTTTACCATTCTCAGCTATTGCAAAAAAGGCTTTTTATTAGATACATTAGAAGAGTTTCACATCTACAAGTCATTAAAACAAGATGCCGACAACTTAATAAACGATCAAATCCACCACAGCTCCAATTTAATTTTCAACAAAATAATCGAGACCCAAGCGACACTGACGCATCCTATTAGCCAAGGATCAAGACAATACAAAGTACAAAGGTCAGGTAGACCACAAGAATTATCTAGCTAGTTGTGGCTTGGATGTCACTCGTCGCGGCCGGTGATTTGACAAAATGTACTTGTTCTCCCCTTGTAAATACCGATCGGTAAATGTGTATGTGTTTGTGTCTTGTGAACTGTATATAGTTTTTACTAAACGACGTCCAATGGACTGAACATTTTCGACTGGAAGCCTGATGATAGCACAACGTCGTGCTGAAACCTAGGTCGCAATCGACTTACTTTGAACTGGAGACTGAAGGTAATTAAACCATTATATTAGTTATAAACCAGTTCAGGGGCAATTCCACATCTTATGATGTCAAAACTATATAGAAAATGTTCTAAGCAAATTGTTTATTTTACAGAAAAAGATATTGGCAACTTCTTTCAACTTTGCATTGGCACGTCCATAAATGGTGAGAGTGTACGGTATAAATTACTAAGCACGAAGCACGACTAAGCAGAAGGCAATGAGGGAAATTGAAAAAACATTAAAGTTGCATCCGATCTAAGGTTAATATGGTGCATCGTTGACCAGCAATATATACTCCTTGCACAAATGAAGTGTTACCTGTATGCAAGGGTTTTGATCAAACCTTTCACGAACACTAATGTTTACAAACCCAACTTCACTGCACTTTGAAAAAACTGATATTAAGAAAAGCTTCAACACAAAATGGACTTTTTTTTAACTAGGACCCCGAGTCTGGCACTGTTTATCACATGACTTCAGGTTAGGCCTATGGTAGTTGAGACGTTATCACTAAGATACAATCCATTGGTAATTGGTGGAATTTGAACCCGGGACTTCGTGGAAGTTCAGTTCTCTATCACTCGACCAACAAGCTATCTATGACATAAGTTAATTTTGTTGATCAGATGCACTGGACTGGCAGGCACCAGAGAGTGTGGTTTGACAGCCTTCTCCTACAACATTTTGCCACCAGTAAGATCTGCACGGTTACACACCCGCAGCAGCTTCAACTTTCGCTACGGAGTGGTGGAGATCAGAGCCTCACTACCAGCTGGAGACTGGATTGTACCAGGTCATTAAACTTTCTTCTTATTGGTCAAAACAGTGGCGTAACTAGAACATGTCATTGGGGGGGGGGGGGATGGAGGAGCCCCAACACAACAAAATGTTGAAAAATTAGAACTCTAAACTCGCGTTTCCAGGCATTCCAGAGGTGTAATCACGTTCAAAAGTACTCCAAAAATCAACCCAATTGAGGCTGTCTGGCCGGTCAGAATCAGGAAATATCAAGTAACTAAATCATAATCACAACACAACAAACGAACAAATTCATTAAGTTGTTGTTGTAGCCTTCTGAGCTGCACGTGAAGAGACGTATCTACTGAGTTTTTATTATAAATTGATTTAATAGGCTGAAAACGTTATGTATTATTGATCAGTAGACCAACAGTGTGGACATTTGTTGAGACACTTACAAGGTTTAACGGTACTGTTAAACCTTGATGTTAATATATTTGGGAAATTCGTGTAATATAGTTGGGTTAATTCGAGTAATATAGTTGGGAAATCTGTGTAATATAGTTGGGAAATCCATGTAAAATAATGGGGAAATTCAAAGTGTCTGCCCCCAATATTTTTTTCGTGTGACACCCCTGACTGTAGGTAAAATTATCGCGGTGGAAAGAGTGACCCTCCCTAGGCACCATAACCCATCCCCCACCCGCCCATACACCGCGTGTCGTCGCAACGGAAGAATGTTATTGTTTGTTATCACTGCTCACTATGTGACGCCAGCGAGCGGAAATCCCCGATTTTATTCGCAAAGATTATGAAATTACCCGCGACAATTGCTGATTGATCCTCTGTGAACAATGTTCATTATTAAACCATTATGTTACTAAAGCAGTTTTTTTTTGCCTTTGGGGGGGTTCTATCCCCCTCATCCCCCCCCCCTGTAGTTACGCCACCGGTTCAAAACTTGACCCAGCTGCCCTTGATCATTGGGCTTATAAAAAATTATCCTGGCTAATGAACCAGCTGATCTAAGTCGGTAACAAAGAGCTGCCATCTCATTCATTTTTTCTCATCTCTGCCTTACAATACACACCCTGGTGTGTCGGCTTCATAATAATCTAATCTTATCTAAAAAAATTGTTTTGCTGAACCCATTGATCCCCTAAGAATGATCTGACACAAGAGTAATATAACCAAACTTCCACTTACTACCTAAGAGACCATAACCCTACAAAATCGGCAAAAACTTTACTAGTGCTGAAACCTGGGAGTTAAGTTTAGAACAATTTTACTTGAAATTTTGGTTGATGAGTATTCTCAGTGCTAAAGGCCATTCGTTTGATTGGTTGCCAAGTGGTCAAAGGGTTTGTCTCTTAAACAAAATTAGTACAGGAGACCCCCTCTTGACCGACCTCACATTAACCGATAATTGGATTATCCGCCCTTGATTGTAAAATATTAGTTGGTTTAACTGCCGCTTTCTAGGAATCTTGGCATTTCCGCTCCCACCCTGGGCGATGAGAACCATGCGCTTATCCTCACAGGATGTGACTAAGAATAAGTTAACTTGTATTTATCCCAAAAAATTGCATATTGCTAGATTGTCATCATTGTTTGTAGCGCGAGCACATCTGATTTGTTATTTGTGTGGCAAATTTATAAAATTGTAAAGTACGCTACGATTTTATTAACTGATCTTATTGCTAGAGTAAACAAACAAAGCAACTTGTAGGAAGGGCAGGGGAGGGGGGGGGGTTAACGACTCCAAGGTCAAGATAGTTATTGTGACTTGAGCCTCAAGTGAGAGGCTATAAATAAACATCCTGTCTCGTAACAAAATGGTTGCTTAAATCTATAATTTTGAGAAAAAGCTCTGTACTGTATTACAATAGATTTGGAAAGCATGTTCTCTCACTGATTTGAGAAAGCAAAGTGGCCAATTCGCTCATCAGTGAGACAATGTTAACATTGTCTCACCCTAATTACTTTGTCTCACTCCAGATTTGCAACGTGAAGGCACGAAATAGTGAGCGCGTAACATGCAGACAAGGTCGTATACGCGCGAAATACGGCAATTGCTCACTTTGCTCACTAGCTGCACAATAGTTATTTGTGCAACTAGTGAGAAAAGTGAGCAATTGACTCAATCGAGAGAAATCCTTACTCACAAGCCGTAGGCGAGTGAGGAATGGTTTCTCGAGTGAGGCAATTGCACTTTGAACTCGAGTTGCACATTATACTTTTCCTACAGTTACCATAAAACAAATAAATTTGTGAAGAAACATAACCTATTTTTACACAGAAGTGAACTTTTAATATAACATTTAATGTGAAGTGACAAATACAACAGTACAACAGCTGACCAGCTGATTTACAGCCAGTGCTGCCAACGTATTTCACGCGCATACGACGTTGCCTGCATGCACGCACTCACTATTTCGTGCCTTCACGTTGCAAATCTGGAGTGAGACAAAGTAATTAGAGACAATGTTAGAGATTAATTAGAGATGTTAACATTGTTTCACTGATGAGCAAATTGGCCACTTTGCTTTCTCAAATCAGTGAGAGAACATGTACATTGTTAGGTAACTGTAGGAAAATAACTATTTATTGACTCTTGCCTACAACTCTTAATTTATTCCACTGGAAGTATGACTTAACCATGTTTTGTGTTTATTTGTGACTTTTCTATCAATTCAAAAAAAGGAGGTAGGTGCGTAGTTTATTTTACAAATAATGCAACTACGACTTCAAAATAATGATTATATAATTCCAAATGAATAGAACTTCATTATTTTATGTTTTTAGGGATTGCTCGTTTTAAAAGACCTTTTGAGTTATTTGACCTAGGTTATTTGACATTAGGGTCGGTTAAGGGGGTCTACTGTATGTGGCAATGTAGTTGAGGGTGTAAACTGCATCTCAGTCAGGCTATTCAATACTGTATAGCTGTATGACTGTAATTTAGTAGTAGGTATACAATTCTGTGTCAGAGCGGCAGGAGAAGCCTACCTAAAGTAAGGTGGACTTTAAAAGTTGACAAGGTAAGAGAATTTTTAGTAAGTTTAATAAATCAGGTATTTTGTTACTTTATGCTCATCCTTAGTTTGTGTATGCACCAAAAACTTATTCTACCGAACATTTATAATTTAAGCCAATTGTATTTAGATTTTAACCGTACAGTTGTTCTAAAAAATGTCTTTCTTCTTCAGAGCTCTGGTTGGTCCCCAAAGATCAGAGCTATGGGACCAACTACTTGTCCGGCAAAATAAAAATTGCCATGTCTCGGGGAAACAGGTATAAAAACATTTAATTTGACTTAATTTGTTTATTATTAATCATACTTCTAATCTGGAATTGTTGATGCATTCAATGAAGAAACTACATTCAATTAAGAAACTAATTCAATTTGACTAAAAGCTTTCACTATTAATACAACAACTTCTGTATCCAATAGTCAATGCTAAAAGTTAATCTTTAAATTTATTATGTTTTAAAATTAAAAATATGTTTTTTCTCTTACTCTTGATTTGGGGGGAAATGAAGGGAAATATAAATCTTTGACCTCCCATTCTCTCTCTCTACAATAAATTTTATTAAGGATTTAAACATTTTTCCAAAGAAATTTTCCAAGTGAATACAATGCTTCATTGTTTGTCATTCATTGTTTGTTGGGTTTAGTTGTCCTGAATCTGTCAGGAATCCTGAAATTGCCAAGGGTGGATAGTGGAAGGATAGAGGTAACATCTTAAAGTAAATTTAAGGTCGTGAGCCTCACAATCCAAAAATTAAGTAGTAGTATACCAATGTTAAATACTATATGCTGGGAAATTACAAGTAGCTACTGTACTTAAATGATTCATCTAATGTTTGTATAGAACAATTAGTAACTAATAAAATATTGCTTCTACAAAAACACAACATTGTTCACATGATCACTGAAGACAATGTTCATCACCGATTAAATAAAATATTCAGAGATGCAGCGTGTCAGCAAACATTGAATTGAAAGGGTCATTACTGTAATGAGTAAAAATAAATAAAACCACAGTGAAACGAAACAGGAGAGTGATGGACTGTGAAATTGAGGAAGCGATGTCATGGGTGTCAGCCACTTAAAATATATGACTTCTCGTATTTTACCACTCACTTCTTGCTTTGCAGAACATGCATCAGACTCATGTACATTGTACACCAAAGGTTGAAAGAGGCTGCCTACTTTGCACAATCTTTTGTTACTATTTAAATAACAGTTTCATGTTCCTCTTGCAAGGTATCTAACACTCGAGGGCAAGGACCTGGGTTCGTCAGTGTTGGAGAGTGGAGTGCTGGCCGGGCCTGAGAACAACGTGTCCGTTCGGTCTGTGGTCAACAAGATATCAGGCAGCTGGAACAGTGTGGCTCACACCTTCACTCTGGTCTGGACCCCAGGTACAGTGCTCGCCTAACAACCAAAAGACAACTGGTTTAATCCTGTCTAGCCAGTAGCTCATTGATGGTACGACACTAGGTCCAGATACTTGACTGTACTTCATATTGTTTTAGCACAACACAGAGTTGGACTCTCACACCTGCATACTTCTCTGCTTCCCTCATGTTTGTGCGAACAGTGAACTGAGGCTGAGTGAACCAGTATCGTTTAATTTTATACAATAGTTACACTGGTTTTTGCTTTCTCAGTTATTTTAAATTCTTTCTCAAGGTTTAAATACCTGCTATTGGGCAATCCAATCCATTCTATTGCAGTTGCAACTGGTTTCGGATCATTATTGATACATCATCAGGCGGTACAAGGACTTCCTTTCTCATACGAAGAGCGTCAGATTTAACACATAAATAAATATACATTTACACGACACGATACGAACGATGGAAAAACATTTATGGTAGGTAACTGATCAGTTGTAACAGAGGAAGCTAACCCGGCGGTGTTTGAGTCCAGACTGCGGTTGGTCAGTGCAGTAGATGTAAAAATGCACCAAGTTAATGGTATTAATGGAAGACAAACTTCATAAAGGTGCACTGAAAAACTGTTTTATTTTATTAATTATTTGTTGTGGTTTCCAGAGTGGGTTGTATGAACTTGCAGCAGCCCCTTTAATATTGATAAATGAGATCCTACTTTACAACAAATAAAAGATTTGTATCTTGGGATTGAGTAATCATGTAACTTATTAGTTACTCTTTGTTTGCAGATAATCTGTCATTTTACGTTGACGGGCAATCACAGCAAGCACTGCTGCCTCCTAGTGGCCGCCTCTCTGAACTACTGGGTTTACAAAAGTCTGAGGTGGCCTCATGGGAAACCGGCTCTAGACTGGCTCCTTTTGACACTGACGTAATTAAAACCTCACTTAGGAAATACGACTTAGAATACTGGCAGAATTGTTCAATCTGGTTTGATATTACTAAGTAAAGTCAAGTGGCTGATAAAGTTTTTTTTTTCAAAGGGGCAGAGTTCAACTTGTTTGCTATAGAAAATTGTAGTTCACAAAAAAATCATGTGACCTTTTGTGATTACAATTAGCCCCACTAGACTATTTTTTCAGGCAAGCTAGCTGAAATCTATCCGCTTAAAAAAACCTCAATCCTGAAGGAGTGTAATTTAAATTTACCATAGTACAGATGTCAATTTTCTATCTAGTGGTAAGAACAATCAGACTGAAGTTCCATATGATTTATGATCACAAGTGTGAATGGATTCTTTAAAACTAAATGAGTAAATAACATATATTTTGAAAATTAACTTTCTAAAAAAAGACACACATAGCCTACCACTTTGAGCTTTGTTTAAGAGCCAAAATATGAGCTATGGATATGATCTATAAATAAGAAAATAAATTAAACAACAATGATAAAAGAATAAGACTCTCAACACTAAGAAAAAATTTAATAAGGCTCCCTATGGAAATTTGACTTCTTATCGAGGTTTAATACAGAGTAATCTAAATTTATAAAAGGACTATAAGAAGTGAGCCAAATTTTAATGGCTAAAGACTCTTTTGCCAATCCAGTGAAACTATTTTAATCATAATCTGTGATCTAGTTTTCTTGGATTAGGCCGCGGATTTGGAATTTTGGCGTTACAGACACAATGACAGACAAACAAACATACAGAAATTGAGATAAGACTGGTTTTGGCTTTCTTATGGTATAAAACGTAGAAATATCCAAAAACTTTATGATTCTAGGCAATGTAAAACTGTTATTTTAGTGAATTTCCCTATGGACAAGTAGCTATTACCATAGCCCGTAGGTGGCACGGTAAAACCAAGAACCGGGACAGAATTCCTTTTTCATTTTGATGTCCCTGGAGTTCATTTTGGTGTCCAAAAAATGTATATTATATATTTTGGCTTGAAGGTGTAAGGCAATATAAACTTGAATGACTTCGCAAACCACCATGAGGTCGGGGGTTTATGGGTTGAAAATTGGTTTTTCTCATGTTTGATCCACAAAACATAAAATTTCCCAATTTCTCTTTAAACTATTTTAAAGAGATTAACACATTAGCTACCAACTATACTCATCCCTCAGTAACATAGGAGTGTGATGGTCGGTAAGAAATGTTTTAAAAAATAATTTAGTAAATTGAAATGTCTTTTTAGGGTTATTGGTTATGGAGAAAATACAAAAAATTGTAAATTTAAAATTCCCGTGTTGTTCTTAGGGAGAATCAATAAGTTAACCGTAATAAGTTAAGTTAGTAATAAGTTGATCGTTGTAGGTAGTTTGCTTGTTTATGGATATATTTAAATCAAACTTCATTCATTCATTTTATACTCCAAATTTATAAGTAACTTATATTGTATTGCTAAACCTAATGTTATTTAACAGATTTAATTGAAAATCCAATCAGGTAAATGGAAATTCGCTTAGCATGCAGATTTGCTGCGGCGGGGGTATTATTTATATAGATTATGTTTTGTTGCAAGAAGTAGTATCCAACAAAACATAGCAAATCTATTTAGTACTAAACAAATGAAGAACTTTCAACTACCTACCTACTTGTTACTGACGGTGAACAATAAGATCCTGTTTATTCCGCAGTTTTACCTATCACTTGGGCTCTCTGTTGGAGGTTCAAGGACGTTTCCTGATGGAAGTGTCAGTGGAAACAAGGAGAAACCTTGGACCAACTTCAAGCTCAAAGTAAGTGGTTTCAAGTTTATTAAGTTGTTTGATAGCATTTGAACGTATCCAGAGGTTTATAACGTACAGCTTTTAAGAACTGAATGGTAGATAAAAGATATCGATGTTATTGAACAGAGTGGCTAAATTTACTAATGCAAATATAATCTTACATACATACATAGACATATATCCTCTCCCAATCTGGTTATCTCCTAGTCTGGTTTTTTACTAGGCCTCTCCATCTTCTTCTTTCCCTCCACTTTTCCTCTTCCTCCACATACTGCCACTGCACACCTTTTGTCTGGTCTTCCTCTTCGTCTTATTTCGTTCATAAGAAGCTTACTCATTTTTCTGGAGATTCTATCAAAACCATCTAAATCTCAATTTCCCTACTCATTCTCTCAAACTTTCTTCAACTATTCCTCTTCTCAACTCTTCATTTCTATCCAATCTTGTTTTTCCTTTAATACCTCTTACAATAATTTTTGATTAAATTAAAGTTTATCTTAGATCTTTATTTAAATTGGTGTCTACGTTTTTAATTCTATTTTCTTTTGGAGAAAACCTTTCGACCTTGAGGACATTGTCAGCTGCTAGTGTAACGGTCGTATTCCTCTTGGAATACGTACTGTTACTTTGGGTGACGTAGCTCAGGAATGAAACTCAGCACTCGCTTACAAAACCCAACTTTATTAATTACTCAAAACAACACAAAGAACACAGAGATAACTAACAATCAAAAAGGTAGAGTAGACTGGAACTGTATAAATAAGTTAGGAACTTAAACCCCAATTTGGAAAAAGACTCTAAACCCCAATTTTGAAAACCCTTAACATTTTCTTACCTGGACCCAAGGCCAAGGGCCTTGGGCTCCAGCTCCCCCAGCAGGACCCCGTCCTCAGGTGCACCACACAAACACTACACACCAAAACTGACCCCTTGATCAAGTGCACTGGCCTACTTAAAGCAACAGCCTTCAGTAGGTCAGCACAACAAGTTATTGTTTAACAACACTACCAGCCTACTCACACAACATTGCCAAACACTTCCTCTTTACAATATTTGACCCTCCTATTACATCCCCCCATTTCCTCCAGACGATGTCCCCAGCGTCTCAACTACATAGATACATCTACTTAGAGAGAAAAAAAAAATAATAACAACAACTGATAAAAATCTTTTAAAATTGTACCTAAACAAAATTAAAATAAGGTTTAGGAGGGGAAGAACTGACCAACTGTTCGCGGACTTCCTCAGCAGTTGCGTCGATAAAGCCTCCTCGAACAGTCGTTGGTCTTCAGATGTTTGACCACAGCCATGTCTTCTGCGATGTCTCCCACTTCGGTGTCTATAGTCTGTAGTCCATCCAGCACTGCCTTTGCCATTGATTGAGTGTACTGCAGCCTGAAGTTCTCCTCTTCTTAAAAGCCCTTGCCCCCAGCTGCGTTTCCCCAGTTTTTATTGAATTTGACAAAGTCTCTTCCTCCAATCACAATGTTGAAGATAACACGGCAAATCATGAAGTTCTTGTAGCCTTGTCTACAGTTGGTCAGTGGGGATGGGTAAATAGGAAGCCTACACAAACATATAACTCACAAATACAACATAATTATAATTTATAAAAAAAACCCTAGACTTTTAAAGAAATTCTTAAACTCACATTAAGAACAAAACAACCAACATCAAAACAAAAATTATTGAAACTAAGAGAAGTGTTTGGAATGTGTTACCTTAACAAATCATAGGCCTATACGATTAAATAACAAAACATTATATATAATTTCTGATTGGTTTACTTTTAACTCTTCAAGTATGACCTATTTAAAGCATTCGAAACAAGGAATAGTTTAACAGTTGTCTCTCATATCTGGTACTTTGCAATTTAAGTCTGAATCAAAAATAAAATACAACAATATGTCTCCCACTGAAGTCCCTGATACTTAAAAATCTAAAAACCAAAATATATCTCAATAAAATATTTTTGTAATACATAATCCGTCTTGTCTTCAAAATTTTGTGAGACTATTAAATTCACTAAAGGACACTATTATTTCCCAATACAGTTATTTTCGGGGAGTCATGCGATTTATCTATTAACTAACAATACAAAATTATCTCCCGAATCAAATTTGATTTCCCATAGTATCTTTAAAAACACAACCAAAATTGATTACTATTAACAAAAATAGTTAAACAAACATTTCATATCACTCCCTACTTTGCTTCGGTGTTAAAACAAGTGAAACATTTTACTTCAGTAGGCTACATTTTTAAATCACATACTTCAACAACTAAAAAAAATCATTAAAAAAAATGTACTTAAACAATTTCATGTTTATCCTCTCAAAACAAATCGAAAACAAGATTGCTGGAAAAAAAAATGATTTGGGCCCAAATCGTTACAATCTAACCCGTAAGCAAAACCAATTTCCCTTTAAAATATCTCCAACAATCTATCACCTGTAAAAACAAAAATCTGTTCCCAAAATAAAACATTCATGCATTACTGATTTCCCAAAGCAAACTCTAGCATCTGTATTAATAGGTAAACATTGTCACAAAACACGGTCAGCAGTCAGCAAGGTCAGGTCACAGAGAGGCCATTTACACCACGCTCAGCATTCCTCAGCCTACAAACATGCTGAGCTGACTTCTGCCACTGCAACTAAGCCTGTGCAATACCCTGAAATATCAACATGAACACCTACTCTAATCATTAACAGTATTAACCATTTGTAAAAATCCCCATCTGAAAAAAAATATATTACTATCAAATTAAAGTTTAAACTCAAATATATTTCTAAAACAATACACCATAATACACTATGAATAATTAACTATCCCTCATACTACTTCTATAAAATATAATATATTGATCCACCATTCACTGCATCTACTGCGCATAAAGAGCTGAAACAGAATAGTTTGACAACATGTGTCCGCCACATTATTCGCACAATATACACTCTAGAGTAGAAATAGCAGGTCTGCAACCACAGAATCACATCTTCGAGAAACCTGGGAACTACAAGATCCCAGATTCAACACAAATTTAACCAGGCAAATACACACACTTGTGCACAGCAACAACATCTGAAACACACATTACACATGTGCACCCAGCACAGGACCAATAAATACCTTGAGCAGCTAGCACTTAGCATAAAGTAAAAACGTACCTCGTGCACTCAGCACGTAACACAAATTCACCTTGTGCTCCCAGCACATAACAAATGAAAACCCTGTGCATTCAGCACAACACATACCTCGTGCATCCAGCACGCAATGCTTAACAACCATGTGCACTTAGCACATAACGCAAAAACTCTCGTGCTTCCAAACACGATACACAATAAACTCAACGAACACACATCGAACTCACGTGCAACCCACACATGACGCTTAGAACACTCGTGTAACCCAACACGAACACATATCGAACTCACGTGCAACCCGCACATGACGCATAGAACACTCGTGTAACCCAACACGAACACATATCGAACTCACGTGCAACCCGCACATGACGCATAGAACACTTGTGTAACCCAACACGAACACATATCGAACTCACGTGCAACCCGCACATGACGCATAGAACACTCGTGTAACCAAACACGAACACATATCGAACTCACGTGCAACCCGCACATGACGCATAGAACACTCGTGTAACCAAACACGAACACATATCGAACTCACGTGCAACCCGCACATGACGCATAGAACACTTGTGTAACCCAACACGAACACATATCGAACTCACGTGCAACCCGCACATGACGCATAGAACACTCGTGTAACCAAACACGAACACATATCGAACTCACGTGCAACCCGCACATGACGCATAGAACACTCGTGTAACCCAACACGAACACATATCGAACTCACGTGCAACCCGCACATGACGCATAGAACACTCGTGTAACCGAACACGAACACATATTGAACTCATGTGCAACCCGCACATGACGCATAGAACACTTGTGTAACCCAACACGAACACACATCGAACTCACGTGCAACCCACACATGACGCATAGACTCACACAAAATAACACTGAAAAACTTCACATTTACGGCATTCCAGCCCTTCACTGCTGTCCCAAAAACACTGAACCCCCAAATAGAACTGAATAAAAACTGCACCAAAGTGATGATTACAAATAAAAAAAAAAAATATATTAAAAAAAACCAAACTTTTCACATTACTAGAACCCCAAAAATTAAAGCCAATTATTTTTCAAAGAGGTACCAAGATTGAAGTTTTGTAAAAAAAATACAAAACTCCCGGCGCTTCCATCACCTTGTAACGGTCGTATTCCTCTTGTAATACGTACTGTTACTTTGGGTGACGTAGCTCAGGAATGAAACTCAGCACTCGCTTACAAAACCCAACTTTATTAATTACTCAAAACAACACAAAGAACACAGAGATAACTAACAATCAAAAAGGTAGAGTAGACTGGAACTGTATAAATAAGTTAGGAACTTAAACCCCAATTTGGAAAAAGACTCTAAACCCCAATTTTGAAAACCCTTAACATTTTCTTACCTGGACCCAAGGCCAAGGGCCTTGGGCTCCAGCTCCCCCAGCAGGACCCCGTCCTCAGGTGCACCACACAAACACTACACACCAAAACTGACCCCTTGATCAAGTGCACTGGCCTACTTAAAGCAACAGCCTTCAGTAGGTCAGCACAACAAGTTATTGTTTAACAACACTACCAGCCTACTCACACAACATTGCCAAACACTTCCTCTTTACAATATTTGACCCTCCTATTACACTAGTCACACTAGGTTTAAGTGTATCTTGGATTATGTTGGTGTTGTAATAGCTGCATCGGTTAGCCATACATTCGTACACACATTTTTTCATGAAAAGCACTTTACTTTGTAATTTTTGTGTGGTTATGAAATAAATACATATCAAATTTTTTAAATACATTAATTTTAATGATTTGTGCTTTACCGTTTGGTTATTTAACTAGGAGACGAGTTATTATTTATGATTAGATTGTTTTATTTGGCTAAACGAGGTATTAAATGACTGAAATAATAAGAAACAAATTGTAAAGAAAACACAACCTCTATAGTGCACCAGAAGGATATAAAAATAAAATTGGCTTCAGCTGTTCCAAAAAAAGATGAGAAATCTACTAAGGGAGTATACTAAGCTTCGGTTGACGTGCTTGGACCACGAGTCCTCCCCTCTCACAATCATCAATCAATCAAGGGAGTATATTTTATTTAGCTTGTGGTTTGTAAAATAGTAGGCATATACATCTTTATTTCTTATTAAAGGCTTTTGCTTTTTGCCAGATTCCCTAGCTTGGTTGGAGGTCAAGCTGGATTTTGGTTGAGAGGTTTTTATGCCTATTAGTTGAGAGTTAAATTTAATTTATTTTCACATTATTTGTAATATGATTTCAGGCCATGCTGAACTTTTGGCTCAATAAAGAAACTTGGAGGCCAACATGGGAGGAAGATAAATCAAGACTGGTTATTGAATATGTTAAGGTTACAGCTCTGTAATAAACAAAAGCTGTAAATTATTTTACTTTCACACTTTCCTAGTTATCTAATTTTTTGTGTTACCTCAATGCCTAAAATGAAATATCCATATTCTAACTAAGAACTTGAAGAAAACATTATAACAGATTTTTTAATTTACTTTGTAATAGGGAGAAGCCAAGCGTAAAGTGTGCAATTTCAAAACTTAGAACTAAAAAGATTTGATAAATCGTTCAAAGACTCAAAGTTGATTACAACAAGAAAGAAGATTGCACAGCGTTGCACAGTTGACATCATAATGAACTGACATTATGACATTAAGACTCTTATGTCATAATGTCTATTAATATACATATGTATACATATATATACATATAGATTAGTAGGTTTACTAAGACTAACTTGTAGAATTTAATAGTGGTGAATATATCTAATGAAATTATCAACAATGTCGTACTATAACCATATTAATGATAGAACATTGAAAATACTCTTCCAAACTATAAATTGCCAATCAGCCAACAGAATAGATTTAATACCCCCACCGCACCAAACCTGCTGACTAAGCAAACTTACGGTATAACTAAATTCTGCATCAAAAATAAGTTCTAGACCAGTTGTGTAGCCAGGAAAAATCTATTTTCACCATAATATGAGTATAAACTTTAAAAAATTAATTATCTTTATTTTATTTCATGAATCACGATTTTAAACATGATTGTATTGTAACTTGTAACTACTTATGTTTATACAGACTGAAAGGAAAGAACAATCTGAATCATACCATTGAGCATACTATTGAGCATTCTCAATTGTTGTAGTCTATTGTAAAACTGGTGCAAAGCTGTGATTACCACTGTGTAGTGGGACAAAAAGTAAATGATGTAGGCTTATAATAGTCTTTTTTTCCAGTGGTAGGCTATTTCTTTTTTTGCACCACATTTGGATGAGCTGACAAAAACACTATAATATTTAGGCCTACATTTTATCTGTGATTCAATAAATACTCCTCGCAAAAACTGGGTGATTTGGTCATGCTGGAGGATTTCAACCAACATGATACTGATTGGACAGTTACAGATAGTCCAGATTTATCTGCATCAACATGGGCCATTATGGACTTGTCGACTACCTTAAGTCTCAAGCAAATAAATCAGGTCTACAATTATCAGGGTGTCTGTCTGGATCTGGTCTTCTCCTCTGTTGAACGCTCTAAAAGTATGCTGATGAAATTCTTCTACCTGAGGATCACCACCATCCAGCTCTGTCAGTATCCCTTCCCCTACCTTCGATCATCTCTACAGGCCTAACTAATTATTTTTTGAAATTTCAAAAAGTGTAATCTTCCGGTGGTAGGTAAAGTAGTGTAAACAACTTGTGTAAACTACTATAACATCTGATAGTTGTATTGTTATTTTAATGATTTCCTTTGTTTACTTGTTGTTGTTCACAATTTACCATGTGTCGTTAAGAATTTTTGGAGGCTAGTGGCCAACTTGGATAATTTCAAACAGCTGGTGAAGGGTTATCTACCATCCCAAAATATTTTTTTCAAATACAGTAGACTCCCTCTTATCCAGACACCTTTTATCCGGACATCGGTTTAACCGGACTACACTCGGCGGAAATGAAATCTCTTTAACCGGACAATTTTTATCAGCACATCGGTTTAACCGGCAGTAAGAAACGACTGTTCTCGTGGGAAAAATTTGAGACCAGTGATCACGTGTCTAAATACAATCCTCTCCTAAATTTAAGTCAAATACTGTATACAGTATGCATTTAAATGGTCTGTTTTGACGAGTTTTTGGGGACATCGGTTTAACCGGAAAACCCGTTATCCGGACTGGCCTCGGTCCCGAGGAGTCCTGATAAGAGGGAGTCTACTGTACCAAACTAATTGTAATATAAATATCTAAGGCTCTAATGAGATTAGAAATCTTCTTTGTAGTTTTGTAATTGGTTTCCAAGGGAGCCCTTGGAGGCTGACGGCCATCTTGGATTTGTCCGCCATATGAGTAATGTTAATTTCAAACAGAGAGTTATCCTGAAGAGTTATTTATCGTCTCAAAATATTTTTTTCAAACGCCAAAGTGATCGTGATTTAAATATCCAGGGCGCTATGAGATTGAAAATTTTCCTTGTAGTTTTGTAATTGTTTTATGAGTCTTAAAGCTATGCTCCAAGGACTCTTAAAGTGTGTTCCTTAATCAAAAATATTGGTAAATACTTCTACGTGACCTATTTTTGTAATTTTTGTCTTAAAATTTAAAGGTGTGTACGCACAGATTTGCTATCAACCATCATCTCATTCATTTATCTTAGTGACGTTTATTTCGAGTTATGCACGCAAGCAGCTTACTCCCTGTACATTTCTTATGGGAGTTAAACCAAGTTTATTTGGCTCTTCTAAGACCAATTTTCATAATTTTTGTCTTAAAATAAAGGTATGCTCGCAAAGATTTGCCATCAAGCATCATCATTCACTTATATTTTTTTAAACAATAGGTACCATTACTTTAAAAACATAAATTTGAGTTTTTTTTCTTACTTCAAAAGAGATGAATTTCAAAAAATCTAATTAAATTTTAATTACCCTATATATTTTGGTATAAGAACTTTCAGTGAAATACCAGCTTTCATTTGAGCTATTGATTACTAAGATTATATGAACTTAATGAACGCTGCTGAATCACGAATCAAAAATAATTATAATTATTTTAGGTCTTATCTGCAAGCAGTGATGCGTAAATTTAATTTCTCAATTTTTATTTAAGTTATTTTATGTGTCTTGGTCTTAAAATACTCACAGAAAGATAGGTTTTCATTTGAGATATTGATAGTTTGAATTAGTTAAGTTTAGATACTGCATTACACAAACAAAAAACAGCTTTTTATTACCATTATTATTGTGAATTTTATTTTGACCCGGAGAACACAGAGTTTTGCTGCTAATAAGATATTAAATTACAAGGGGTGAACAGAAACCAAACCCTTGTTTCTGAGATATTTACTAAGATGGGAATTGATCATTCATTATTCACATATTAAGATAGGAAAGATCTTTTACCTGTGTGATAAAATTGAGTAATGATCCTACATGAAAGGTGCAATAATTGGAAGTCATAACTAAACTTAATGGAAAATAAATAGCACAGGGAGATATGTTACATTACTGAAACTTAATATAAATGAAATAAAAACGTTATATGCATTAAACGAGGTTCAAAAAGTTAGTGAGAATAGATTTAAGCAATTTTATTTCATTATAACAATACAATACAAACAACAAAAATTTGAAACAACTATCAAAAACACAGTAGATAAGAAAACCTACATTCCCGCATTCTTCTGTATCAGCTGAGCATACCTGTTGGTCACAAGGAGAGAGACGTCAATGAATCGATCCACACAGTTGACCAAACAAGTCTCCGTCCGTGAGTCTAGCTTTGTGCTGGGCTTGTCCATACACATGTCCCAACAAGTGTCGGAGAACTCATGGATCTATGAAAACACAACTTTCATCAACTCATCTCCCAAAGTCCACACAATCAGGTACATTGCACAAATTTGAGAGGTGTCTACATACAGACAACTTTACTACATTTAAATAAGCTCTCAAATTCTCTAAATAGAACAGGGGGATTCATAGGGTGGAAAACCACGGGGAGCCAGATTCTACAACATTCTACCAAATGAACTGAAGTCTGTGTGTCTCAACCAAGTAAAATCTCACCTGAAGCAGTGGCTGTCCCAACGTTCCTTCTATCTATAGGTACTGATGAGTACACACACAACACAACTTACAGCTATTATATCAAAATACCATGCCGCCAGTAAAATATAAACGGTTTTTCCCTCTCTCTCTCTCTAAAATGTCCAACTACACTGATACAGGTGGGTCCACAACTGGTGTCAACTCAAACAAGTCTTAATTGCTTGTTGTGAAGAGGTTTTGGTACACCTGGGCTAGACAGAATTTGGTGAAAACTTTTGGCTAGGCTAAATAGCAGATGAAATACAAGGACTGCATATGAAATTCATTTGTTTGATAATGCATATCAAACAACAAAATTAAAGCAAGCTGTGACAGAGATGCAGGGCTTGATTCATCTTTATGTCTAATAGGCCTTGGACTAGCAGCACCATGTTAAGAGACATCCTCAGATAACTGGTAATCGTGCATGCCCTCCAAATCCTATTCACCAGCCCCTTGTACCTTAGGCGTCACCGTACCACAGATATAGACCTATTTAAGTTATAGTTGGTATAACTTAGATCAACATTACAGTACAGTACTGTACGAGAAGACACTTCATCTAAAGCCAAAAGTTCATCAAGGTCGGGAAAATAAGTGTTCCTACAGCCTTAGCCTATGCCTATCTAACTCTCGAATGTGCTACCACGACAGGCTGTTTAGGCCTATAAACGCTCCTTTTAGCGAATTTCCCATGTAGTAAATAAGCTATTACCGTAGGTCTCATAATTTTCAAAGAATTTTAAGTTGTGATTTGAAAAACAGATTTTGTGTTTGTGCCTTGTCCCATAGCTGTGGTATGAACCCAAGGTCTCGAATTTTGGTAAATTATTGTTTACAAACAAGATCAAATGAAAAATATATTGGACAAAAACAGTAAGAACACCAAGTTTTGAAAATTGTTCTTTAACTGAGGTTCTCCAATCTTGAATGTTTAACATGATGCGAAGCGCTTCTTTTTAAAATACTGTAATATTTGTTCCAAATTTTTTTTCCAAATTTTCTTGAGAGGTTGCTTTATATAAATTTATGCCACAGGAGATGTGGGAGTGAATGAAAGAAAAGTAAATTATTTTTAATGTTTCAAAAGGAAATAATTTAGACATTTTTCTCCGAACAAAAATCCCTGATGAAATTTTACGGCCAAGATGTTCAATATGAAGGTTTCAATTTAAATTTTTGTCCAGTACAAGTCCTAGGGATTTAAAGTTTTGCAGTTCTTCTAGAAATTTTCCTTCCATCCAAATTCTGTGTTGAGCTGGTTTATTACTTTGATATGTTGAGAAAGATTTGCACTTGGTCTTGTTTATATTAGGTTTAAATTGTTTAAAATGCCTATATAGTTTTAAAGTACGGTAGGTAACTCAGTTTCTAAATTTTAACACTGGTCTTAATATGGGTTGCCATGATGGTTACAAAATAAACGACGTAAATATAAACAAAACAAAGAATCATAGCATATGTTAAAATTAGACCACCACCCAAACACAGTAGGTAGGCCTACAAAGGAAAAAGATTTGGATGATGACAACTGATCAAATACCACAGAGAAAGTCTTGGATTTACTTAAGTCGCAATTTGGAAACGGCCACTGATCGAATAGGTACAGTCATAGATAAAACATACTTTGTTACATGGTGAAAGGAAAATACATAGGTGTGCTATTCCCGTCATATGCTGACGTCACTCAGATTGCAAACACCATTTTACCATTTAGAAAAATTATTAACACAATAACTATCAAATCAAAACAAATAATATATAGGCCTACTTATACGAGGTGTTAGCCCATCCTACGTACGAGAAACGAGTAGTCAGTTAAAACTGTGTTTAATTCAGAACTGCTAGTTTACACGTATAAAGACAAATTTTATTGCAGTTTTAATGTGAAAAATCATCTTGAAAACAAATGTTGCGTGATCAAATATGTTTATATCCCATCATAGGCCTGTACAAATCACAGGAATGGTCACTGGTCATGGCTTCCTGAAATTGCACCTGCATCGCTTCCTGAAATTGCACCTGCATCGCTTGAGGATCCACAATGGAGACACTGCGTGTAGGATGTGTTGATATATGTATATTGTGAAGTCCATGTTTAGAGGTATTACTCTTTGGTCTTTGTGTATTCTCTTTTTATTTATTTATTTATTACATGCACGGCAAACGCCATTTTACAAGAGTGTTGATTTGAGATTGATAAAATTAAGTGTGACTTATAGTGAAATAGTTATAGTGCGTTCAATAATTAATATTAACAAATATGAAATGATAATAAATAATATGAAATATGATAATATGAAATACGATAACAACACAGTTTTGATGAATAATATGCATGATTTACAGGACGTCTTTTAAGTGTATTTGATTTCCGATTCAGTATAAAAGGATGTCGGCTCATTAACTGCAGCCTAAATTTATTTCTGTCAATGTTAATTACAATTTATAATAAATAGTATTGAAACTTAAATTGTGTTTTTATTTAAAATGTGAAACATGGTGTCTTATAGGTGGGATACAAATAAATTTAAGTGCGTGAGTAAGAAATTAACATAAAAATGTGTTAAAACAATGAGTGAGTCAGAAGATGAAAACGTGCTTCAACAAAGGACTGTGTCTGGAAAAACTGAAAATTTCACAATGGTTCCATGCAATCTTCAGAATTTTAATTTCGAGGGCAATTTAGCCGAAAATTGGAAGCACTGGTATCAGAAATTTGAGATTTATCTCTTGGCTTCTAACCTAAATTCTGAAAATGACGCTAGGAAGGTTGCTCTACTACTGCATAATTTGGGTGACAAATGCATAGACATTTTCAATTCATTCAACCTCTCATCCGCAGATGCAAAAAAGTACGACGTGGTGGTAAGTAAATATGAAAACCATTTCTCACCTAAGAAAAACCTCACGGTTCTGAGACATAAATTTCTAAGTAGGAAACAGCTGCCATCTGAATCCATCGATAGTTTCTATACAGACTTAGTTAACTTGAGCCTCGCTTGTGAATTTGACTCTGTCCGCGAAAGTCTTGTTTGCGATGTCTTAATATCAGGGCTTAACTCCCAAAACCAGAATGTCAGGGAACGATTACTGAGAGAGCCGGAGATTAACTTGGAGAAGACTTTAGCAATCTGTAAAGCTGCTGAACTGTCTAAACAACACATCAGAGAACTTGAAGCAGAACATAATGTCCATACAGTAAACGTTCATAAGCAACGAGAGAGGAGTTACCAACAACCACAAACGTTCAGACAGAAACAGGTTTATCAGGACCAACGGAACAAATTTCATCCACCATCACAGCAGAAATCAACTGGGACAGGTAGGCCTAACAAGAGTACAAGTGCTAAGAAGTTTATTTCGAACTGCCGTAATTGTGGGAAAAGTCACGGTATTAACAAGTGCTCTACGTATGGCTTAGTGTGCTATAAGTGCGTTAAAAACAACCACTTTGCCAGTGTATGCAAATCAGCCAAAAAGGTTTGTAAAGTAGGCCTAAGTTTAGATCCTAATTCGAGAGATGTAGTTATAAGGCAAGGTAGGCAAGACAGTTCTTCTAAAAGTACTTGTACGCACAAGAATATTTTTCAATTGATACTGTATCGCTCACGTCTGAATCTATATCTAATTAGGTGATTGACAAAAACTTTTTATTCAGTAATATATGTTCAGTGATTGATTCTGTTCCTAAAAATTACATGTGTAAATCCAGGGCTAATAAATAGCTAGAGAATTTGAACAATAGGGAACATACGATATCATTTAAAATAGATACAGGTGCTCAGACAAATATCATCCCAATTGATTTGTTTAATAGGCTAGGCCTATCAAAGGCATTAATACGCACCTCGAATATAAATCTTAGTCCACTAACTGGTGAAAAAATACCGGTACTAGGTATTGTAGATTTAGATTGATCTTTCAACAGGAAAATGTTCTGTATTACTTTTGTAATAGTTGATATGAAATGTTCGCCAATTTTAGGCTTAAATTCTTGTCGCGCGTTAGGTCTTATAGCAGCCTACAACAGTCAGGTATTGTCCGTTAAGAACCAAAGTGTAGATAATATTGTTCTAGGGCAAAATATGCATAGGCCTAATGAAAGTCACATTCCGTTATTAGCATTTTGAATGAATATAGCTCACTTTTTGATGGTGGTATTGGTAACATTCCTACAACAGTTCATTTGTCATTAAGTGAAGATGCTAAGCCATTGAACCATGTCGTAGAGTACCATTTGCTTTGTTAAATCCTTTGAAAAATGAACTTGAATTAATGAAGCTAATGGAATTATTGTAAAAGAAAATGAACCTACAGAATGGGTTCACAGTTTAGTTTTGATAAACAAAAAAAAATTCTAGACTAAAGGTAGTATTAGATCCAAGAAACTTGAATAAGTATATACAAAGAACACACTGTCAAATGCCAACTATAGATGAAGTGTCATCAAAGTTTAATAATTGTAAGATATTTTCAACTCTTGATGCAAGCAGTGCATTTTGGATGCTTAAGTTGGATAATATTAGTAGCAAGTTGTGTACTTTTAATACACCTTTTGGTAGATATAGATACCTTCGTTTGCCATATGGTATCTCAAGCGCACCAGATATACGGTATTTCATTCTACTGTATCTCAAATATTTGAAGGTATTGATGGTGTAGTCACCTACATAGATGACATTTGCATAGGTGCTCCTGATAAGCAAACACATGATTTAAGGTTAAAAGAAGTACGATTGCACAG